AACTGATGGCTAAAAAGATTACAGATTTGAAACCTTTTTGAATACTGCTGGCTGAAATTATAAATGGCAATAACTGAAAAATAATGTAGGGTAGGTTATCATTCTTGAATGCTGCACTACTCCTCAATGAGATCTATCAACCTATGAAGTTTTGAGTTGATACCTCTAACACTTTTGAGATACCTCCGGACAAATTGTATGAGAAATGACAATTTGAAAGGGCAATAACTCAAAAATTATAAAGGGTAGTGATTATCATTCTTGCGCATAGCATTCCTCCTCAATAAGATAAATCCACCTATGAAGTTTCATGTGTTTGACATCTCAAAGACTTTTTGAGTTATGTTCCAATCAGGTGAAAAATTAAGTATGAAAATAACTAAGGGCAATAACTCAAAAATTATTACGAGAAGAGTTATCACTCTTGTGCACTGCACACCTTCTGTGTGAGATATATCCACCTGTGAAGTTTCATGTTGATATCTCAAAGGCTTTTTGAGTTATGCCCTGGACAAAAATTAAGTATGAAAAATAAGAAAGGGCAATAAATGAAAAATTGTGCAGAGTAGAGTTATAATTCTTGAGCACTGAAAAATTATAAAGGTAGTGTTATCATTCTTGCGCAAAGCATTCCTCCTCAATAATATCTACCCACCCATGAAGTTTCATGTTGACATCTCAAAGATTTTTGAGTTATGCCCCACTCAGGTGAAAAATGAAGTATGAAAAATAACAAAGGGCAAAAACTAAAAGAAATCATGAAGGTAGTGTTATCATTCTTGTGCACTGAACAGCTCCTGAGTGAAATCTATCCGACTATGAAGTTTCATGTTGATTTCTCAAAGGCCTTTTGAGTTATGCTCTGGACAAAAAATAAGTATGAAAAATAACAAAGGGCAATAACTGAAAAATTATGCAGGGTAGACTTATTAATTTTGTGTCATGCAATCCTCTTCCTTGTGTCCTCCAAAATGATCTATCCACCTATGAAGTTTTAAGTTGATACATCAAATAAATTTTGAGATATGCTTCGGACAAAAATGTGGGACGGAAAGACGGTAGGATAGACGGAAGGATGGACGGAAGGATGGATGGACGGAGACTATTACTATATCCCCCGCCGACTTCCGGCAGGGGATAAAAAGAAGAAGTCTTTAATTACCTCCAAATACTTCTAATTCACATATAGCAAGAATGGATGCATTTCTTTGTACTTGGACCTCCAAGCCAAAGACTGGATTCGTGAAGTTTACAGATTTAGGATTATAGTCTTCTATGTCATTTCCCACCGGGTTGTCAGTGAATACAGGGTCACGTGATGACGTATTGACACCGTTCACATATATCTTGTACGACTGAAACTGAACTGTAACAGTCAATCGCAACTATTGTTTGTAAAATAAAAATGGAATGATGTGCACATATTAATAAATAAATGTTACATTTAGTTGACATTTAGATAGGCTTATTCTACTGCAGAACCATTCATTATATAGAAGACCTCTTGCAATGTTTACAACAAAAGTCTTACCGGGATAAAAGACTAAAATTTGAATTTCAAAATACATGTAAGTGTATAATAATCTGGTAATAAAGATAAGTTATATACGTTATAAGTTATATTTAATTCGTTAATTTGATATATTATTTCAGGACGGTATTGCGATTGTCGATTTCTATCATAATCCGATGTTAAATACATTAAATACTTATGGACGTGCCATTAAATTAAAACGATATCAATACACATGTTACATCAATACATATGCTCCGGACAAAAATGTGTGACGGAAGGACTGACAGACGGACATGTATATATATATTAATGAAGTCACACAATTACCAATGATTTCAAGTGATTAAGAGTATCACGTGATCAATTACAAGTTGCTACAGCTGTTGACTTTGTAAGACAAAAAATAAATATTAATTAAATATTTAAAGGAAATGTTAAAAAATATAATAATATATGCTGTAATAGTTTTATTGCAAAATATTATATTTATGTAATATTTTTAAAATCTTATATTTTTTGTTGCAACACATATCAATCACTTCCTAGTTCACAGAAATATAGACATCGCATGTAACATTTTCATACAAACCTAAAAAGCCGTAACCAACAAAGAAATGTATCCCTTGTATAAGATACTCGGAGTCCAAGTTAACACTCCATTGATGTGTTGTCTTTAGTTGTGTGTGTTTAGTTGACATGCACGTTCTTTCAGATTCAACATTTTGGTCTTCACCCTGACGCATTTGTCTTCCATCTACTGCATACGATGAATTCCAAAATCCTTTCCAGTGTAATGTTTCATTTGGCAAAGTGTACTTGTTAAACGATAAATGTCGACCTGAAATTTAAAAGTATATGCTTTAACATAACCATCCATCCATCCATCCATTCATCTATTCTGATTGTCTGGTCTTTACGACAAACAATTTTACATTGTGCATTTGGTCGAGTTGATCGGTCAAAAGACAGTGTCATTGACCACGACTTTAGGTGATAGAAGATGACGAAGAAGAAGAATTTTATTTCAAAATCCACATGTAAACAACAACAGTCTGGTTTAGGCTAATAAGCCCTTGACCTGATACAAAATAAAATTGCAACATTCTCAGCAATACAATACATGACCCAATACATTACAATGCAATGACGGACATTGAATAATAATATTACTCACTTTCAACATATTCTTACATTCATATATTATCAAAACATTATGATGTCAGTTGTTACAATTTAATTCATATCAATTATAATTTCATACATATTTATCTCTTTGATTATTTGGTTCATTACCTTGTTCTGTATGTGTTCTTTTTACTAAACATGAATGGTTATAAATGTTTACTTGTTTTATCATAATATGCTCATATATAACTATTTATAATGTTTGGTATTACTAACCTCCTAAAAATGTATACATAAACATATATGTAACATAATGCCTTGTATCGAAAATGAAATTACTATCTTGACCATTATTTTTACTACTAAAACTTTAAAGCATGTCTTGTTTTTATGTAAGATATGAATATGTCAGATTTAGACACACATACAAATATGATTTCAGATTAACAAACAGTGTTATTAACTTGTGGACTAATTTAAGTACCATTAGAAAATATCATTATTTGCTTTTCATATACCCGTCCGTTTTAGCGACTATTTTAAACAGTATTGCATGGCTTGTCTATTTTTAACGTGATGTCATTTGTACAAACCAATAGAAAAGAATAGTAAATTTTAAAGTAAAGTGTTTTTATGTTTTGCGTGATAAATTGAATAAACCAAATGACGTCAGGAAAATTACTTTTTCCGCATGATATAGTTCAATACATTTTAATCAAATCTTATTTTTATTAGCATGTGACATGTAGAATGGAAATAGATTTTTTTTTTTTCGTTGTAGTATGCACGGTTTATTGTTAAAATGATTTGCAATTAATCACTCAGTGCTAATAGCCTTCGTGGTTATATTCTTGCGCATTTGAACAAGAATCGTGCATAATTTGCAATAATGCACTCAAAATTGATATTTATTTCCTAAACAATGCGCTCAAAATTGATGTCTATTTTCTTAAATTAAAGAGCATCTAAATTCTAGGAAACTCCTCGGCTTCCCAAAGTGGCAATTAAAGCTGTGTCATGCATTAAACAAATATGGTATTTTATAGATGAAGAATATGATGTGATATTATTACTGAAAAAAAAAATGTGACAATGATTGGTACTTGTCTTTTAACATAATTAATATTCCTAAATAAGCATAACGGAGCCAACTGAAATAGACTGTTTCTTCGAAATGATAACAAACCAGGCGTGAACTCAATTAATATTTTCGTAACCTTTGGCGGATTTGCAGAAAATCGATTTTAGAGGGAAAAAAGAAAAAACAACAACGACGAATAAATCTTCGCCTTTTCTTTCTTCTTCTTATTTTTTTCAACCAACTCTTCACATCCGTTTAGCTGTCATTATTTTGAAGAAACGATACCGAAATGTTTAAGTAGTATACAAATATGGTCTTTTCAGGTGGTGAATATTGTGTGATTATAATGTACTGGAAAAAATATTGACTGAGATGATATATTTAGATATGTACTGAAAAAATAATGATATTGACCGAGACAATTGCCGCGTAACATCAAACCATGACGTCATAATTGTCTTGATGAAAAATAATTCTTTAAAATTTTACGAATTTTGTTATATTTTTAAAATAATATGTGCAAAATATTGATGTGCTTCTGGACTGTATTTCAGACTACAATATTTCCACTTGTTTAAGTAATATACCTTTTATTCACATTCAGAAATAGTTCGGTACTGTGAAAATTACATTTTATAATTTCACTTTAAAATGATAAAAATATGATTTCACTGACCACTGGGAAGCATGTAAATAATTAGGAATATTACGAATTTAGCAATTCTGTGCGTTCTTGTAAAGGATTGGACCCAATTATAGAAAGAGTAACATTTAGAAGAAATGTCAAATTAAGTCGTATTCATACGTAGATTTGATAAGCAATGTGAAAGTAATTTATGGATTATAAAACTAAACAGATACGGACTTTAGCTGGTAAATATGATGTGATATGTACTGAAAAATAAATATTGACCGAGGCGTCCAGAAGTCCAGATCATACTATATTCACCAGCTAATAAAATCATATTTGTATATTTATATCAAAAGTAACAACAATACCTAATAGGAATAGATCCAATTAATAAATTGTTTACCTCCAAATATTTGAACCTCACATAGAGTTAGCTTGTCTACATTTTTAGCGAGTTTAATTTCCACCACATTACCAATTATCTCTTTTTCACAGTAGATTGTCATTTTCCTACTTCCGTTACTGTCAGTTCCATGTTGATAACATAAGTCTTTTACATCCGTGCCGTTTCCTATCTCTATAGTAAAACCTCTATACTTCTCTGAAAAAAAAAGGAATTTATCTGATCATTATGGTAGAAGACTTCACGATTGCGACAAACGCGAATGAACGGATTTCAGAAGAAATAAATCAATTCAGGGAAAAATAGCCCAATGAATTTTGACGGAGGTATAAAATAATACAAATGTGACGGATGGAAACAGTACAGTATCAGTTATACATGCTTGACGCAAGATAATGTTAATTGTCCAAATGAAGAGGTATGCACATGTTTATTAAATGCAGAATTAGGCATTCCTATATAGAAGTACGTAGTGCTATAAAAACTGAAACTTTACAACAAAATAAAAGTGTTTATATAGATATATATTTAATGTCTTTGAATTGTTTAAATGATTACGGAATTACAGAATATAGATTACTGTTTGATCACTTAAAACTCTTATTTTCAATAATACTCTAATTCAATAATAGTCTTAATACAAGAAAAATTCTCAAAAGCAATTAAAGGACTGGAGCAGTACCTCTAGACGCTTGCAGAAATCATGATCAATAAATAGACAAATATCGTTTATTTCTCCGATTATTACATTTTTTAATTTATAATCATACATCAATCGATGAATTAGACCTTTTAAAGTTCATTTCGTTGGGTAAAAGGACACGATTTTAGCATTTTATCATTCAAGCGCCTTATCCAGTATATACCGGAGTACGGTATTTAGTGTAATGCTTCAATCTTTTTTTAGTCTCAATCGTTGTCAAATGACCCAAACTCATATCACGAAATAACCTCATGGCAAGTTGTTTTGAACTAATCTATATCTTTGTATTATCTTTAGACACCCGAGTGAAATCATGTATCGGTAAGAAAAATAAGTAACCAAATGCCCTGCGTTGATTCACATCAGGTTACGAATAAGATAAAGAAAACTTTCAATTTGGTTTATACTATTTTTTTGTTAGTTCGATTGTGTTGGAAGCTACATGTATAAGTTTATTGAAACTCTCTCGAATCCGTTCCAGGAACAAATCAGTAAAAAAATGAGTTTAAAGTTCTTTGCTCAGGGAAACAAGGGCTTGTCCATATCCCACGCGTCTAGCAATACTTAGATTACTAGTCAGACGTTAACCACTCGGCAACGCCGCCACAATGAAGAAATAATCTTGCAATTTGACTGTAGTTACAAATTTAGAACTTAATATAGAATTAACACACCTGTTGCTGAACCTGGTATATTGAGAACAAGGCCAGTTATATAAAGCTTGTAATTTAGCTCGACCCTCCACCATAATTGTTCTGATACTGTTGGATTTGTCCTACTACATGAACTTGCATCACCATCTATTGCGAAGTGTCCCAAAAAGGGACTATTTCCACTCTGCATAGCTTGCTTTGATGTTAATGCATGATTAACTAAACATAAATCATCATTGTATAAATACTTAGATTTCATGAATATGTCAGTTATTTGATATTTTCGTTCAGATTTGAATTCTTGTGCATTTATATATTCAGTTTAAAGTACAAACAAATATCTGCACATAAATTATAGAATATTTTGATGAAATAGAGAAAATATATTATATCAAGTTTTACATTAAATAAATAATCTTCACCATACCCGCCGGTATGCAGATTCTTTAATAATCTCAAAAATATTGAATTGAAATATTTGACCTAAAGAAATTATTATATCCAGAATCTAATAAATACATGGAAGCTACTCCTTTCATTTGTATACGATTATTTATGTCAAACTGACATACGGTATTGGCAAGCTGGTCCCATCCATCCATACAAACAACCTTGCGGGCATATTCCATTTTCATCACATTGGTCATTATTCTTACAATTACATCTGTATTTACAATCTGGTCCAAACCCTTTGACATCCTTATGTACTGTTGACGGACATGCTGAAAATTAAAATTTTAATGTTAAAAAAATATTTATAATAGAAAATTACAAGCCCATTATAATTAGAGGCGGTCAAAGAAAGATGGGGAAAAATATCCTATCTAAAGAAGCTCATAATGTTATGCCATACTCCTGCAATCAGTTTGAGTTACTAGTACATTATAGATATTACTTTACCATGTCATTAAATTAAAGTTTATGCCTGATAAATTTAGCTTTATGAGTCACCCTCAGTTTTATCAGACAGTTCATCAATATATATTGAAATAAAATGAAGAAAATGTAATATTTTATCTCCAAATAGGTGAACATATTAAATTGATTAACTTTAAATCGAATTTATTTTTGGATTTTGAAGTCTGTCTTACATTTGACAAAAAAAAACATTTGGGAATTTTTCTAAAAGATATGACCTTTGGTATATTACTGAGCGTGGAATGAACTGGACAGGTTCTTGACAGTATTTTTGTTTCATTTGAAATTTAAAGAAATAAGCGCATATTAAAATTGAACACATACTTAATAGAATACCAAACGATTGTCTGATATTATGAAATTGACCAGGCAAGAAAAAAAGCTATGTATCAGCATTTTCAAGGTAGTGATTCGATACAATATATTACCAAACTGTAATCTTGATTACACTGATCAGAATGTTTGCACAAAGTGAATTTGAAAGATTGTGCAGATAATTTGTTTCCTTTGAAACTCATCCTCAAACGATTCAACTTGAAACTTGAACAATAAATTTAATATTAGTTTTGTTTCCTGTCAAATGATTCAATATGTGTGCATTGTTTGCTTGATTTTAAAATGACGCTTTAATAATGATTGAAGTAACGGTTTAAGTACAAACGGAAGTTAAATTCAATACTTTACTTAAATTAACATACTATATGTGTATATGTAATTAAATATGCAGGATGGTTGACGACAGTACAACAAGCAGTATGGTGTATATTTTCTGAAGAAAGGAAGTAGCCATAAAACGAATAAAAGTGAAAATCGCACGCTTGAAACTGAAAAGTGCAACATCTTTCACGCTACGCTCCCTTTGCAGCTCATGGAATACCTCACGTTACTTCAGACAGTGAGCGATATTGAAACATTCGACCGATGCGCAGGAGAGTACTATCACGCTTACAAACACAATATTATATAGAGTATTTAGTCTGACACGTTGAAGTAATTGAATGGGTCTGTTGTCAAACAAACAAACAAATGAAATAGCAAATGAGCCGCGTCATAAAAAAACAATATAATGGGTAATTATAATAATATAATAATATAATTTATTTACTTCTATAAAGAATTTAAATATAGATATCTATCACATGAAATAGAAAACTAAAGAATGAGAAAGCATGAAGAACCGGTACTACAATTCAGGTACAAATTCTATATGTCGATTATGATGATGATGATGATGATGATGATGATGATGGTGATGACAACTTTGTTGTTTTGAAGTAATAATAAAATATATATATTTTGCAGGAGGAGCGTCGTAGTACCCAAGACAATGATAGAAAACTAGCGAAACGTCAAAAGAACAACGAGAACTATGACAGGTATTTCGTTCAGGATGCTTGTTTGTTTGTTGATCATTCCACAATGAACTCGATAAAGGTCTTTCAGTCAATATAACTGTAAAGTCTTGTCAACATCAACTGCACAGTACGTATGCTCAAATCGTATACTAATGTTATCTTTATTTTATTAAAATTTCAGGAACTCTACCAGCAGACATACTGTTAACCACCAGAATAACAATGGAACCAACAGTAATTTTAGTATCAACAACAACAAAAATAAAGAGATACCAATATGTTCTAAATGTGAAAAACAATTTTCCACAAAGTTTAATCTAAACAAACATGAAAAGAAATGTGCTGGGCGTTTAGTGAAAAAAACGGATAATACCCTATGTGGGATATGCAGGAAGCAATTCACAAACTACAGAGGTCGACTCAAACATGAAAAACTTTGTAGAAGCAAAAATGAAAAGAATCAATCTGTCAAGGAGAATAAAGGTTTTCAGTGTAAAACCTGTGGCGCGATATTCGCTTCCCATGGACTTTTAGTAAAACATGAATTCAGTTTAAAGCATAACCAAGCCGGGGGAAGTAGTACTGAGAATAAAAGCTGTATTAATAACACTACTAAAAACGTAGAGAGTGAGACTAATGGAAAACAGCGAACGTCCCAGAATAGTCACGTTCAGCCTAAATGTCGACGATGTGACAAGTGCTTTACGGACTACAAAGATTTGTACCGTCACAGAATGTTAGTGCATAATCAACCGACTGCTTCGAATTTACAACTTTATCCTTGGGATGAGAGGAATGAAAGTCCTCCATGGGAGAATGCCGACGGGAGTATAAATGATAGAATGAAGCGGGTTTACATAGAACATAGACATTTGATTTTGGGAGAAAGGGTGAGAGAAGGTGATGTGAGGAGTACATACAATTTTCCAGTTCCAAATTTAAATACAATGGAACAGTTGGAAGATCAAATTAATTATATTTTTGAAAGAAGTCAAACTGCTTTTAAAATTAATATTTCATTTGGACTCATTTTACAGCATGTTGAGTCGGAAGAATACAGATACTTTTCTGCGCATTACACCGATAAAATATTTTTATTCCCACAGCTTATTAATAATAGAAAAGACATTGAAATGTTACTTTTGCGGTTATCTAAACTGGATATTCCTAATTATTTTCACAAACAAAAGCCAAATTCAAAATGGCGCCCGGTGTTCATTTCAAATGTACTATATAATGTGAACAATACGAGCTTTCCTCTCGGTTTAAGTCAACCATTACCGAAATATATCTTACACTCGAAGAGTATAGTATCCTTTCAGAAGAATCCATATACCAAGAGATTATACGCGGATAATTTATGCTTTTTTCGCTGTTTGTCTTATCACAAAATAAAGAATATTCAATGCGAAACTTTAACTAAAGAATTTCATAATACTTGGATACAGTATTGCTCCACAAAGAAATTAAAACTGACAGACGTTACACTAAATAGAATGTGCGATTTAGAGCAATGTTTTGAAACAAATATAAATGTTTATGAACTTAGTGAAGATAAGACTGTTCAGGTGCTATACAGATCCAGAGAAGTCTTCTCTGGTGAGACAAATAAAACAATGAATTTAAATCTATTTGAAGACCATCTCAGTTATGTATCAACATTTTCATCGTACGCCTTAAAATTCCAATGTAGATTGTGTGACAAGCTATTTAATCGCAAAGATAATCTACTTCAACACCAGAAAACATGTCAGAACGCAACAAAATTAAGATTCCGCGGTGGTTACTACACTCCACCGAAATCTATCTTCGATCAACTAAAAGACCTTGGGGTTTGTGTGAATACATCTTTACAGAATTATCCTTGGTTTGTTACATTTGATTTCGAAGCCATGCTTAAAACAGTTAGCGAAAATTCGGAAGACAGACTTACCAAAACACAGCTTCACCAGCCAGTATCGGTCAGTGTCTGCAGTAATGTTGATAGTTTTGAAAATCCTTAGTTCTTACTTGAATCCGACCCAGACATCTTACTGAATAAAATGATATCGTACATGAATGACATATCTGATAGAGCGTATGCGTTAGCAAAAGTCAGGTGGAGAGATGTGTTTACGAGTTTAGACAGATTACAGAGTCAGTGGAACATGAAAGACGACATTAATTTGGGTAGCTCTGATGACGATGATGATGATGATGATGATGAGAATCAAGCAAAAGAAAGTAAGGAGTATGAGCCGCTTTCGAATGAATTTCTATACGCCACGAGCAAAGAAAATGTTTTCTATAAATGTTTGAAAAACCTCGAGTCTTCAGGTACATTTCAAGTGCAATATAACAACTGGGAGAGTGACAGCAACCTCAGTTCCACCTCCTCCATCAGCAACAGTACGGAGTGTGCTAGCAACATAGGTACAAATCTTGATGATTTCGATTCTGTTGATTCTACTTTACCTATTCGTGCACTGAATGCGAGGACTACTATAAGAATGGAAAGTGATTTCGATGATGATGATGATGATTTTATTCAACCTGTTCATGCCTTAAACCATAGACGAATCGAGAGTGATGACAACGATGATGATGATGACGAAAATGATGATAATGGTTATGTAGGTGATGCCGCTGCTGCTGCTGCTGCTGCTGTTGTTGATGATGATGTTGATGATGATGATGATGATGATGACTTTATTCAACCTTTTCATGCCTTAAACTCTACACGAATCGAGAGTGATGACAACGATGATGATGATGATGATGACGAAAATGATAATAATGGTTATGTAGGTGATGCTACTGCTGCTGCTGCTACTGCTGCTGATGATGATGATGATGTTGATGATGATGATGATGATGATGATGATGATGATGATGATGATGATGATGATGATAAAGACGAGTACAGATCTTTTCCTGAAACTTCGAAATTAATGTTCAAATCAATTCTTCGCATTTGCGAACGTTTTGAAACATACTGTAAACAAATTCCCGTTATTGGATATAATTCTGCCAAGTATGACTTAAATTTGGTAAAAAATAAGTTAGCAAAACTTTTAAAACTTCATAAACCCAATCAACAAAAGTTTGTGGTAAAGAAAAATAATGCTTAATATATTTGTCGAACAACAACCTTCGTTTCTTGGATATGATAAATTATCTCCCACCAGGTACGTCGTATGACAAGTTTTTGCAAACATTTGATGTTAAACACAGAAAAAGTTACTTTCCTGATGAGTACTTCACTAACTTATCGGTGTTAGACGAGCCATCCCTTCCACCAAAAGAGACTTTCTTTTCCACATTAAAACAATGTAACACTCTGGAAGACGCAACCAGGATAGACTTTGAAAAACTTACTAGAAACGATAATAAATCAGAGAAAGAGGCTTTGGAGCATTTAAAGTTAGAATCTCCACCTATATCGAAAATAGATGAAAGATATGAATCTTTACTAAAAATCTGGCGTCAAAACAACATGAAAACATTTTTTGACTTTTTGAAATATTACAATAATCTAGACACTTTGCCGATGGTGGAAGGAATAGAGAAGTATAGATTACACTTTGTAGATAAGGGTATAGACATATTTAAAAACTGTTTATCTGTTCCCTGTGCCGCAAGAAAAAGTATGTTTCAGTCAGGATTAGGAAAAGGGGCTAATTTTCCGTTGATTGATAGAAATGACGAAGACTTGTACCATGTATTGAAAGCAAATATAATTGGAGGTCCATCCGTGATATTTTCAAGAATGCAAGAGGCAGACATTACAAATATAAGAGGGAATGAACAGTATCCATGCAAGTCTATTGTAGGATACGATGCTAATGCTTTATATTTATACTGTATTTGTCAACCAATGCCATGTGGAAATTACATTCGACGGAAACGAGAACATGGATTTCGTCCTGTTAGGTCTACAAACAGATATCAGGTGATGTACGACTGGATGGAATGGCTTAATTACAGTCGTCACGTTAAAATTAAACATAAAATGAACAACGGAGTGGAAACAAGAGTAGGACCATACTTACTCGACGGATATGATTGTACGACTAACACTGCGTACGAATTTCTTGGTTGCTATTTTCACGGACATAGTTGTGTAGTATCTACTGATCAACAAATACAAACAGAACGGTATTCTCGAACCAAACATAGAATAGCATACTTAAAATACCAAGGATATAATGTCGTGTCAATTTGGGAGTGCGAATACCGACAGCAACTTAAGGAAAATAGTGAAATGAGAAAATTTGTAGAGCACCGCTATCCTTCTTTTTATAACAGTAATAAAGGTGCTGTTGAAGAGTCGGCGATTCTCAAGTCGGTTATTGATGAGACACTTTTTGGATTCATTGAGGTTGATATTCGCGTACCTACATCTTGGAATGATGTTTTCTACAAACCAAACACTTGCCTTTCTCCTTACGAGTATTTCGAAGAAATGAGTCCCTTGTTTTGTACAACAGAGGTGCCTTTTGAGTGTTTTGGGGAGCATATGCAAAGCCACGTGGAGCAGTACGGACTTTCAAAGGAACCGCGTACCCTGTTGGTTAATGGAATGAAAGCTGAAAGACTGTTGTTGTCCTCTCCGTTGTTAAAGTGGTACTTAAAACACGGACTAGAAATAACAAGAATCCACCAAGTGGTAGAATTTAATAAACTGTCGTGTTTTAAAGACTTTGGTGATAGTATTACACGAGATAGACGTGCAGGTGATGTCAATAAATCTCAAGAGCTGAGGAGCGCGTTATCAAAATTAATTGGAAATTCAGCTTTTGGTGGAACCATCATAAATAAAGAAAAATTTCTCAGGGTTAAGTATGTAGAAGGTTTTAAAAAGGCCTGCTTTGCTGTAAATAATCCTAGATTAATAATTCGTCAATTAAACGAACTTGGAGACATGATTTTTGAATCTGAATTTGCGAATGCGAATATATCCATAGATTCTCCGGTTTATTTAGGATTCACGATTTTACAGTATGCAAAATTACACATGCTTTCTTTTTATTACGACTTTTTAGATAGATATACAGAAAGGGAAAACTTTGAAATGGTTGAAATGGACACCGACTCGTGTTATTTTGCTCTATCAAGTGAATCATTACCGGATGCGGTCAAACCCGAGAAGCGCCAATAAGTTTTGTCTTCACTTCACGAAAACTGTAGAGATGATTTTACTGGTGATTGTTTTGAAAACATTTGGCTTCCCAGAGAATGCTGTGAACATCACAATAAGTATGATTCAAGAACTCCAGGTTTAATGAAATTAGAATTTAAGGGGACTAAATTTATAGGCCTTTGTTCAAAATCTTACGTAGGAGTAAACGCTGTTGCAGGAGGAATAACGAATGTTAAATACAGTTTAAAAGGCGTGAATAAACAATTCTTCAATCCCTTAAATCAGTTTGAAGAAGTAATGAGAACAAGAAATCCTGTTACAGCTATAAACAGGGGTATAAGAACTTTTAATAATTCTGTTTTTACATACTCTCAACCAAAGCAGACATTTTACTACTTTTATTGTAAAAGGGTTGTTTTACAAGACGGAATTCACATCAAACCGCTGGATATTGTTCTATTCAATTAACAAATACAAACAAAAACAAAAGGAGGAAGAAGATGAGGTACAACGTTTACTAGACTCTTTCAACCTGTAAAAGTTTGTTTACCTTCTGAAATTAGTAAAATGTTGGAGAGAGAGAGAGAGAATACAATATCAGACTTATGTTTAACTTTTATTCAAATCGTACAATATCATTATTATAAAAAAAATGTATATTACACAAAATATGAGATAGAAATTATTATTATTATGTGTGTATTATCTATTGTGCTTTAACAGCGAGATTTGAAATGAAACATATTGTAAATAAAATTCCTGTTTTCCTGAATTTTACTTGTTGTTTTTTTCCCCTTTTAAACATTTTCAATAAGGAATCCATCTGACATATTTCTTTGGTTTAGTTTTTATTTCTTTCTTCCGAATTCCAGGCACATTCCCCCATGATGACATCCGAACAGCTTTTGTGGTATTATTACTTTGTTAAGCCCTGTTGTCACGTAGCTCGCTTGAAGTTTCTTCATTCTCTACACTTTTTTCAAGAATTTTCTCATCGAGCGTTTGCGTATGCACAGACACGCTCTCCACAGAATGCTTGTCTGTTAAAAGATTGTATTTTTGTTTCGATAGAAGTACAAGTTCCTTCGCTGACATAGCTTCAGCGATTGTCTGGTATCCACTTCAACCCTGCTTTCAATATTAGGGTTACTTGACGAATTCTCCTTGAAACCAAATTCCTTTTTAGTTGTAAAGACGTTTTCTTGTCAGCAATAGTATAAAGAGAAGTTCTGTACCTTTTTTACTCCGATGTTTGCGATTTGTTCAACTGAAACGTACCTTTAATAGCGTTGAACAAAATCTGACTTATTGCTGATGTTTGAGATTTTGTCAGATGCTTGGATATTGATTTCTTTTCACTATCGCTAAGTTTAACAAAGTATTGAAGAAATGTAGCTTCCTTTTTCAACACGTCGGTCATTTTTCATCTGTTTTACTCCGGAGTATAGACGATGCAATCCTCATTTGGAAATATATTAGTTCTGAGTCTATATTTATCATCCGAATGACTGTGTAAATCGACTAACAAGTACCCCCACGCTCGACTAGTTGCTAACTGATATGCTCTGTTAAAAAACCCGCTTTTATTTCCATAAATTTGTCTACCAAAATGCTGAATTTGTTGAATGTCTCTATGGTTTTTAAACAGAACGTAATATTGCGTGTTTAGACTTATCGTTCTAGCCGATGGGGTCCTCTGATACATATTGTGAGTCAAATAAATAATCGACATTTTATAGTGGTGTGAATGAACTGTCCAAAGTTTTTCCATTGTTTTGTCTTTATTTATTTCTGTCATCAAGTCATCTAAAATAAGACAAGAGTGACCGGGATCTTTTAATAACAACTCGAGCTCGTTCTCTGTCGGCATTCCTTCTTTAAAAACTATATTAGGTTTGCTTTCAAGCATGTCATCAAATATTCGTTGCCAAGAACTACCGTGACAATAAACAATAGTCGAAATATCTTCAGTAAACATTCCATTTGAATTTCTGAGAAGTCTTTCTACAAAAAATGTTTTTCCTCCGTTGGAAGCAGAAATCAATGTTAATGTACACGGACTTTCTAGCGGTAACAATGACTGTGTTTCTTACCACGCCATAGCAAGCTGATTTATGTATTGAACGATATGTCTCACATATTTGAGTCTACTTTTCGTTTTTGTATTTCAAAATTTTCAAGTCTTTCCAATATGTTCGAGCTTCAGAAATTGCTTTATCTACTAAAGGTGTAACTTGTTTTAGTTTAATCCACTGTCTCTCACTGATTTGTATTCCGATAATGGATGCTGTGTCGTTGAAAAATCGTCTTATATCTAGCACGACAACTCCATACCTATTACACACTGTGACGTATGTATCGTGATAAATATCATACTGCTTAATAAAGACACATGCAGTCTCGTTTTGTTGTTGCATCTCAATTTTGTAATCCAAAACATCGACTGAACGCGCTTTCTGATCATTTAGAATTATTATTCCAGGTATAGATGTGTAAACGAAAAGTAAAACTACAACACCAATCCATTTAATAACATTTAAGTGACATTTTAAATTTCTCGATTCCATGTGAAATACATTTTCTTCAGTAAAAGATTCCATTATTTTAGTTGTGACAGTATCTTCGGTTGAGTCTTGAGGACTACTTTGTAATGAAGTCATGGTTGATTCTAGCAGCTATAAACGTCAGAGAATCGAATAAACTACAGGAAAGAATGAACCTTTTTTTATCCCTCCTAATATGACTACTTAAACACCAATAACGATATCAATACTGAATTCTAGTTTAAAAAGAAATGATATTTACGTTGTTGACAGATTGACTGTTGTACAAACTCTTAACGTTTCTTAATTGTTCACACTCATTAGTTAACAAAATGTTTATTAAATAGAGATATTCGTAAATTTTACATGTATTATACATATACACAGCTATAACAATTATAAATGATTAAAAATAAAATAGTTATTGGTTATAAATTACAGAATTTGAATATGTATTCACGGTTTAAGTTCACTGGTACACAATTACATCCCTCGCTTTATTAATTTCAAAGTAACCGACCCCTTCTGTGTAGATAATACAGGTAATTGGAGACGGTAGCGGACTTGCAAAATTTGCACTTATTCTAACGATTCCCTGTTTTACTGAAGTTAAATAATTTCTGTCCTGATAAGCCGGTTCGATGTCAAACGCGTACACAGCAAATCCTTTTGCAAAATCGGTCTGAGTGATTTGATTGCCTTCATCCTTAGCCATTTCTTACTACTTTCAAACAACCAATGAAAAGCTTCCGTTGTATCTACTCCGTTCGTTGCATCAAAATTTAATCTCACGGGGTTACCTAAACATGGGATGTTATCAATTGATACCGTTAGTTCTGTTAGTCCGAATCCTTGAAAGTTCCATGGTGAGGTCTGGTACGAACCTGAAACTGACTGACTATTAGCAAATGCCACCACAATCTTGTTCGGTCTTATCCCTTGACATACATTATCTATGTTAAAATTAACCTGTCCTTGAGAAATTGCGGCTAACCTCACTTCCGTTTTAACATACGGATATTTGGCATTAGTTTTTTCTAATTGCTGACTATGAGCGTATACGACAGCAGGGTTGACTTGTGTTTTGCATATATTTAGCACCATTTCGTCGATGACTACTTTGTAAGCCTGCATTAAAGCGTCTGTCATCAAGTAAAACTCAGGTTTAGATCCGTAGAATTTTATGTTCATCGCTGACTGATTAAGAATGTATCTATTCAGTTGAAACACGTCGTGTATAATCGGCGCGAACATATGAACTTTCTTGCTCTCAGAAAAAAGTTCTGTCCTGAATTTGAAACCTTCATTCGCACCTGTTTTCCCATCGTTATCGTCCAAATGTCCGGGTGTGTCTTGATAATAACACTGAGTAGATAATTGATAATAATAAGACTTTGCATCATTACCGTACTGTAGTAAAGTCTGTATGTATGCCTTGAATGGATAATTACCTGTTGATGAAGTTATAAACTTTCCTTGTATCGTAACATCAACTTGATCGAATAATGCATGGGCAAGAAGATTGACTGGACCGATAATTTCACCAGATTCTAGCGCTTTTCCATCTTGATGTACAATCCTTGCTTTAATACTCATGAAACTTCGTTTTGTGTCTATGTACTCCATGCCATTCTGACCACTAACTGTAAATTGTATCGGAGAAGTATCCGTTATTTGTCCAAATGGTAGTACTTGTTGAAAATATAACTTGTCTACTGCTGTTTGGGTAGGATTTATGCTAAATATTTCCAGTTCGCTAGGTTGTCCCTCAACTAAATAATCAGAATTGATTGCCGACATATTCTCCCTTCACTCTAGTATTCTTCCTCTTCTTCTTCTTCTTATCCCGATGAGTGCTTTTGCGAGACTGATTTTTAGTCGGTGTATCTCCATTTCACGTTTTATTTCACTGGTTGCTTGTTCTACTATCTGCTGAGCCGGAGAAACGAATTCAACTTTCAATCCTGGTGTTTTATCTGTGCATTTCTGATCACGTGTTTCAATTGGAATTATTCGGTTTTGTTCAATTTTGTTAATAGTTCCATTTATCTTTTTATCAGAGATTTTTCCCGGGTGAAAATAAATAGGATGTTCTGATCTTCCAACAGATTAATAAAATTGTATCCATTTTTCATAATTAGGTACGTATTGGTGATTGTCATTCATTTTTTTAATATCCTTATGATCTGTGTGATCTTAAATGTACCACTAGAGTAACAGGATTTTTTAAATGTTTTGCTGTAACCCCTTGATAGTTAGTAATTCTAAATTCTTTCTCATTAATTTCCGATTTTATCAACGGTACATAATAAAAAGAGGAAAATGCGGCGTTTTCGTTATTATTTACAACCACTCGTCTCAACAAAGTAGCATTCACTCCATTAATAAAGCTCTCTCCACATATATCCGAGTAGATATACAAAATATCTTCCTTTTTGATCGCTTCTCTAAGAGTTATTTCTGCCAACGCAATTTCCCAGTCTCCATTTAATTCTATATTTTGCCGCAACTTGATTTTAAAACAATAAGGTTTATTATTTGGATAATAATCGAGATCCTGGTCGCTTCGAAAAATCATGTAATACGACATTTTCTATCAGTTTACGTTTTGAATATCATCTTTTTTCACCCACGAATTGAATTTATTAGGCCACCCTTCATATTTAACAAGGTATTCATCAGTGCCTCTCCGTTTTCTTTTCTTGAGGATCAATTCAATAATCCATACAGCGTCTTCGTTTTTATGTAATTCTGTAATTCTTGTTCATAAAATGTTCCGACTATTACATCTCCATCGAAGTCTGCAACTTTATAAACAGAAATATTTTGTTTTACAAATCGATCATGAATTTTAAATATCTCGGATGTCCATTTTTGTTGATAATCTCTCTGGAATGTATGTTTGCTATACGCAAGACGAACAAAGTCTCCTACTTTATATTTAAGCTCGGGTTTGTGTGTTCCTACACGGAGTTTTTTGCCTTTGTGCGTATTTCGAGTATACATGTAATCCCAGACCTCGGCTTCATTCTCCTTATTGACTTCTGATGGAGCCATCTGCTCAGGTAAACTGCGATGAGGAGTCGCATTGTAACTGTTTGCAAGACTTTGCAAGTGTTCTATGTATCTGTATGATCTGGTGGTTTGAAAGAGTTTGTGCATCTTATTTCTAAGCGTACGAATAAGTCTGTCGACCGGAGAAACCTTTATGCTTTCGTTTTGAGTCGTGAAATATTTAATACCTCTTTTCAGTAGAAATGTCTTGAACAACTTGTTATTAAATTCTCCGCCCTTGTCTGAATAGACTATTTGAGGTTTGCGTCCTTGACGTAAGATAAGTTCAAACGCTTCTAAAACATCTTTAGCTCGTTTAGTCTTAACATGTTGAACGAATAAATACTTTGAAAATACGTCGATTACTATCAGTAAATAATTTATGCCGTCGTTGAATTTTGCAGTGTTCGCAACGCTGGCTAAATCAACGCCCAACTGTATGTCTACACCTGAAGTTATTATTTGCCTCCTTTTAAATTTTCTACTTAAGTCTTTGTGAAGAGTATATACGTCTTGTTCCTGCAACCATTGTTTTATTTTATTTCTCGAAATTTTATATTTCCCTTGTTTCTTGATAACTTGATACAGTTTTTCTGCACCGCTAAAGGACACCGGACTGCTTACATCAAAGTAAAGAGATTTTAAATATTCTCGAAAATTCATGATAAATTATTATGACTGTATAAATTCACAACATTGTAAAATCACTTGTTGTAAACCACATAACTGAATCAGAACTTCTTTTGAAATATTAACCGATCTCGTTCCTTTTCTTATATTTATAACCACTCGAGCCTCCTCATTTTGAAACACAGACACATGGTGACATCCATCCAGATTCAAGCTAACTTTACGCTTGTTACTATTTACTGTATTTAGTTCGCTAGTAATGTTACTCGAATCATTTTCATACAGTATAGACCCCATTGTGTCATTACTCGCCGATGTACAAATGTTAACATGTGCTTGTGCCATGCTAGAAGTAGGTGTTTTGAACGAATGATATAAACCTAAAGAAAAGGAGGTCAACTGTTTTTCTAACCGGAAAATTCCGGTTTCTACCGGAAAATATCGGATTCTATTGGTTACTTCTATGCAAATAATAAACAACAACAACATCATTCCATACTTATATATATATTATTTCTATATGTATATATTCATATTCTGGAAACCAAACATATTTTATTAGAAAGCTATAAAAGAACTTTTTACATATAAACGAAATAAACCATGTCACCAAGAATAACAAAAAAAAATCAACACACACTAATTATCTAAATAATGACATAATATTTGTTTTCTTCGGACTATCCTTCAATTCATCTTTTCTTAAAACGTAATCCTTCAAGTCACTGTCTTGCGTGTGCTCCATTGGAACGAGTCCTGGTATGAATTGTTTCTGAAATATATGGAAAGCAAGGTTTAACAGTAAAGAACAAATGATTTCACATGTACATGTAAAGCCTAATACTTACACGAGTTAGTTTTAAAGTTATGAAACCTCAAAAATGTTATCAATATAATAAAATCAATAACTTTTATAATTATTATTATTATTATTATTTTCATTATTATTGTAAGAAGAAGAGAAATACTACTATTACATACCTGCATTTCTGGGATACGTGATACAGCTCTTACTGCAAGGTCTTGAACATCTTCGTCTTTGATCAAACTTTTCCCTACTTGCCAGAATTTGTTGCAGGTCTCTTCCCATGTCGGCTGATCAGTAGACAAACAGCCACCTTCAACCATATGCTGTTTCTGAGAAGGATGTTGTGATTTACAACCTTGACAATTTTGTCGAGGGTCTGCAAGTTCGTTGATTTCTCGTATAATAACAAATGCCGTGGTCATCGAAATCACCTCCGAAGTCCGGTCTGTTATTTGAGTGATGGTAGATTTGTAACCGAGAAGAGTTTCGTTTAAAACTGCTATCAGTGACTGAGTAAATCGCACACCCTCTGATGTATATCTGTATGATCCCTCTTCCATCTTCACGCATTTTCGAATGTCTACATCGAAATGACCTCTCTTGTAATTGTTCTCCTTCAAAGAAACAACAGTAATCAAGTCACCGATGTTACCGCGACAAGCCTCAAACGGTATGTCTATATTCTTGGAAGATCTCTTACAAGTATACCTATCAACGAGCTTTTCTATCGCCGGCAGAAGTTTTATGATGTTTTCAGTTTTTTTCCTCCCCAAAGCAAACCCACCTATTTCCATTCTCGCGCTCCTTTTCTAGTGTAACTGAAAATGTTTTCAACACAAAATCATACTCGAGAAAACTTTTAAAACCGGACGATAAAACAGAGCTGTCTAGTTTCACATCGTTTTCGCTTTCTTCTATCTTTTTCAAAAATTTTGACTCCTTAAGTCCTCGTAACTTCTGCTGAGCGTTTCTGAGCCATGATCCTCTATCAATACTTTTGAAATTTATTTTCTATATTCAAGAAACTGTAACGTTCGATGTTTTGCTCTGATGCTAAATGTTTCAACAGTGAGATTTTTCTATATAACTTCTGCGTGATACAGGTTAATACACAACTACCCTTAGGCTAATACCTGTCACAACGACATGTCGTCTGTTTAAAGCAAAAACTACGTATCTCTCTGTTTAAAGGAAAATTACGGCCTATATAATAATATATAAATCGCTTGCATCGCGAGTAAACACATAGTACACTTTACTACCTACCTTTACCAAAAACCGATCACGAACGCTAACGAATCGCTTCGTGAATTCTCGTCGTCCAATCGCATTTGGTCAAGGTTGGATGCATATTCCCGATTGTATCCATATTCCAAAATGTGCAGTGGTTATAATCCCTTATATATAACTACTACTACTGATGGAGTGGAATCAAAATCTTTCGGTCTGCAATAAATGCTTTTTATTCATTGATTGCCATTTTTTTTCTTCTGAGCACCCTCTTGATATTCCTGCATTCGATCAATTATTTTGTAAAATTGACACGTAATTCCACAACTTTAATTTTCAGTTATCGTCCGTCAAATTGAGTGGAAGTTTTAAGTTCAGCTATAAAAGATAAATTCATAATTATATATCTAAGAAATTTTAATTAATATTACAACCTTTACCATTAGGACCGTTTTTCTTTAACAGTAATTTAGCATTATTTATTTCGTAATTGGTTTTGATAATATTTAAATAAATTAGGCATTTACAATGTACTGAGTTTACCTTTAAACTTTTCAAATTTTATATGATCATTTCTAAGCCGAAATAATTTATTACATTTGATATACATTGACGATTTAAAAGGTCTTTTATTATAACATGTGTATTGTCTCAATGTTGTATTGCAAAGAAGCAAACTTTGTTGTATAAAACTTGATGTGAAAATAACAGTTTAAATGTTTCATAGCGGACGTACCCTTCGCGTTCTATAGAGTACAATCGAAGTAGCCATGGTAAAAGAAGTTTTGTTTTTAAGGGTGTTAGACCTATGTTTGATTTCCGGCTAGACAAAAAAAAACAAGAACTTGGTTGTTAAAGAATAAAAAAGAACAAATAAACGATGAAAGTTGAGAAACACTCTTCGCGTATTTTATTAGCCCACACTTATATCGATTATCACGTCCATTTTGCTTTGTGTAACATGCATTTGTTGTCAAAATTACTCTCTTGTATATTTGTTATTTCATTCTCGCGTACATTTTGTATATTTTATTATTTCATTTCACAATGTATCAGTGTGGATTGTAAAGGCTTTTTCTCTGATTTAAAGATGCTTTGGAAAGAGTTGAGTATAACTTCTTTTTAAAGCACTTTAACTCGTTTAACACTTTTAATTGATTAAAGGTTAGGTATTCACATTACATATTCTGAGCTGAACAAATGTTTAAAACCTCAGGAATAGCATAAATGCCACCTTATCATTGTTGTTTAAGCTTCCGACTCAATACGTAAATTAATATTTATATATTTTTTATGTAAATGAAAAGATTACAAAACAAATATTGTTTAACTGAATCATTGCCATCAACAATCATTAATTAATGCATCAGACATAAGATAAAACAACTCTAGATAAATTGTGGTCTTGTAATGTGACGGCCTATATTGTGAGTATACTTTAAAGATATAATATGGTCATCCTTGAGTAAATTATTTCAATCACAGAAATGTATTATAATCTATGAAATTCTTACTGAATAAGTCCAATTTGAGTAAAAGAAATAATAAACTATGTATGGGAAGCTGTGTTCCCTATTACAGGTCAAGTAAAGTTGGTCTGTTCTTAAAAACACTGCCAATTTTCAATGACACTATATATTCATATTGTAACCGCCTACAACGTTTAGAGTTTTAAACACAAAATATCTTTTTCGGCGAAGTAAAAAAATAGTTTTTATATTTACAAAGAGACTGTGAAGCAATCATTATTTTCTTATTTCAAATTTGAGCATAGTATCTATTTAAATAAACTCTTGTTATATTTTTATTATCCGAAACGAGCAGAAATATTACCAAAAGTGTTACTGCATTAGCAATTTCGCAATGCTGTCTAATTGAACAATCCAAGGGTAAAGTTAATTGTACACAATGTCAAAAAAATGAAATAAATAATTATGTTTTAAAAGTTCAATCCCTCCCGATTAGCCATAATATTTAAAGAAATCAAACGTAAATAAAATGTATTAAGATTGTAAGAAATAGGTTAACGATTCAATATCAAAGAAATAATTTACATGTAACTAGCGATTGATGACTGATTTTGCAATATTTATCATCATAATTCTACTGCATGACTTACGTAGTAAGAACTATTATTGTATATTTTGACCTCTTTTTAGCAGGTAATTTACGTGGATTGCAAGTGCCGTTTGCAATATGTTAACTCCTTTTTTACTTTTAATACATTTTCATTTTTTTATAAAAGTTATAATGCATCTAAATGCATGCTGCTTGAAAGGCAATTTGAACAAAATAATGAAACAAAGAGATCATAATTTGTAAGTTTCAATTTAAAAATATTCATTTTAGCTAGTTTGTGTAATTAGTTCTAACAACTTACATCGGTTTCACATGTGGACACATGGTCGCGAGATGAGTAGGGCTAAAACCTAGTGTTGGGTATCGGACTCAAAAATCACTATCGATAATCGGACCATCACAATCGATTGTCTGCCGATAGTACCATCGAGTTTCGCACTTATAATGGCCCTTTTTTCTTTAGTATGATTTGCTCTTTGAATTCAAAGCAAACAACACAAATACCTAAATACTACTTTGTGACAGTAAATTTTTGTAAAATACAACTTTATGGCATTCAATATTAGTACTAGTCAGCATGTCAAAATATCAATGAGTAGTATTGTAGATCACTAATTTAACTACAGTAGATATATATGTTTATAATGTTATGTTACTACACACTATAATTTTCTAAAGTAGTATAAACCATGTTAAATAGGTTTTGAATACAAAAAATACGTTAGAATTGTCCGGAATTCGGTTGGGAAACTTCTTTTCGACTGCATGTAAAAAAATTACACCATAGGCAATTCAGCCGTGGTAGAACATTAAAATAATCGATTTTTAAAAAGGACTATCGATTGTTGCCGATTATGGGGTGGTCCGATTAGTTATCGATTTTCAGAGACAATCGGGACAACACTACTAAAACCCTCAAACTCAAGGCAGTTACCTTAACAAAAATATGACACATTACATTGAGTTAACCCATAACTGATTAAACAGCAATAACATAAACTTTTATTGAAGTATTTGAATGTTCATTTTACTGATTCATGAATAAAGTTTGTAACCATTAAATAAAAGGGAATGGATTAAAAGATAAATAGAAATGTGTCCATAGGACGCGGGTGCCCCCACACTCCACTGTTTTGTAAATCTTATGACTTTAAGTCAAATATTTTTTGGGCTACGTGTGCCACAAATTGAAAACTAAAATTCTTTTACTAATTCAAGGGCAAGAACTTTACAAATACAAATGAAATCCACAAGCAAACCCCAAGGTGCATGAGTATATGGCTGACCAACATTATTTTTTGAGTCATGCATGAACAAGTTGAAAAGTGCAAATCTATACTAAGTCAAGGGCAATAACTCTAACAAAAATGAAAATCCACATGCAAAACCCCAGGTGCATAGCTTCACAGTGATGTTGATCAGTATTCCTGTAAAGTTAGTTAATTCTAACTCAAGCACTCGAGGAACAAATAACACAGCATAATAAAACGGTTTTCACTAAGTTAAGACAAAACAGAATAAATCCACAAGCAAAACCCCACGTGCACAACTTAACATGCTCAACAACATTCCTGTAAGGATTCATGACTCTTGGTCAAATACTTTTGAGCTACATGTGACACAAGTTGAAAATTGCAAATATTTGCTAAGTCAAGGGCAAAAATACAAAATATATCCACACAAAAATACCCAGGTGCACAACTTCACATGCTGAGCAACATTCCTGTACAGTTTCATGACACTGGATCAAATACGTTTTGAGTTACATGTGACACAAGTTGAAAAGCTTATATTTTATCGAAGTCAATGGCAATAACTTAACATTCTTGTAAAGTTTTATGACTCTAGGTCAAATACTTTTGAGCTACATTGAGCTACATGTGACACAAGTTGAAAATTGCAAATATTTGCTAAGTCAAGGGCAATAACTCTAACAAAACAGAAATAAATCCACAACCTCAACCCCAGGTGCACAACTTCCCATGCTGATCAACATTTTTAAAAAGTTTCATGACACTAGGTCAAATACTTTTTGAGTTGTGTGCGACACAAGTTGAAAAGCGTAAATTGTTACTAAATCAAGGGCAATCACTTTAAAAATACTACATATATTCACACAAAAATACCCAGGTGCACAACTATACATGCTGATCAATATTTCTATAAAGTTTCATGACACTAAGTCAAATACTTTTTGAGTTACCTGCGACACAAGTTGAAAATTGTAAATTTTTATGAAGTCAATGAAAATAACTAAAACAAGACAGAGTAAATCCACAAGCAAAACCCCAGGTGCACAACTTCACATGCTGTGCAACATTTCTTAAAGGATTCATGACTCCAGGTCAAATACTATTGAAATATGTGCGACAGAAGTTGAAAATTGCAAATTTTCACTAAGTCAAGGGCAATAATTCTATAAATACAACATATATCCACAAAAACAACCCAGGTACACAGCTGCACATGCTGAGCAACATTCCTGTACAGTTTTATGACACTAGATCAAATACTTTTTGAGTTACATGCGACACATTTTGAAAAGCGTAAAATACTTTAGGGCACAATAAAAGTGGGTTAAAGCGCCTTTTGCCGTGCTTTATCATCTGCAGCAGCATGTGCAACCGCATATAAAACCGCAAAAAGTATACGTTTGGTTCGTTAATTCTGCGATTAGTTATATAATTTTGTACAATCGTGCTTTTACGTCCTAGTGCGATGTCATTTGCCAGTTGGTTTGATAATGAAATCACATTTTACAACGGTTTTAACTCGCGTGAGTTTGTCCGTAAACAACTGTTTCATGTAAAGCAGTTTACATTTTAAATCGTTTATTAAAGAAATTTAAGATATTACTCAGTTATATATTTTTATAATTGCTTTTAAATGACACCTTTAAAAATGTTGTGATGCATTATTCATCAGAATTTATATATACTATATACCATCGTTTCCCTGTACTTTAATTCCTAGAAATTCGTTTTATGATGTATCAAGAATGATTATGGCAAACAAATGTCACGTTTAGATGACAAATGTTGTGGTTTCGTGCACACTGTATACACATACTTACATAGACTTGTATAGACAATGCTATATGGCAATAGGTTTGTTAAGGAGTGAACTTGCTGCTAGGTTTTAAGATAAAATCAGATTAACATGCCAATAAAATCTTGAAAAAAGGTGATCCATTGGAAGCATTATTCACATAAAAATTTAAACTCGGTTTGATTAAATCTGTGCATGAGGGATAATGAAAACGTGTAAAACCCCTCACCCCCCCCCCCCCCCCCGAGCACCGGCTTCAATACTTAAAGTGCAGGAATTAATCATCCTGAACGACCAAACCCTATAACAACACTAAAGTAGCGTACGGGGCAACTTAACCACACACACATACGCCTCCGTGTAAAGTCAACAAACAACAAAATAGTAAACTTATAAGGATAGCTGTAAAAATGTCTTTATAGAGGTAGAAATAAAAAAATACAATTGCGTCATTATCAATCAATTGAGCATCAAAAAGATATAAAAAAGATTGATGTATAATATTTTGTCCTTAGAAGCACAGGCAAACAACCAATCATGTATAACTTAAATGCAGGAAAGCAATGTAAATCTTACCACACACAACGGTTCCAATAAACTTCATTCCAAAAATTAGGAAAATGAATTTAAACTTTATATCCATATTGTTATTATAAATACCAAAATGTTTCATTAAAAAGATAAATTAGAGATAATGTTCAATTGTCATATTCAGAAGAAGCTACTTGTCTACACGTGACTATAATATAATGCAAGTGGGAGATATATATATATATATATATATACCGCCCTGATAAAAATCCGCTTGGTAAAGTTTTGCACAGTACTCTATAAAAGTATGCTACACCGGTTTGTGAAACTATATTAACATGTTATGTCTATACAATCACGCATTCAACTTAATATGAATGTTTGCAAGAGAACAAAAATTGAAACAGTCTCCTTGCATAACAGGAAAAAATGTTAACTGTGTAGAAGGGATCATTGAATTTCTAGACAATACGTGCTATTCTAATCATCTTTTTTATTAACTTTAACAGTTAACTTTTTTCATTCAGCTGTACACTTTTTTCAACTTCTAACTCGCCCTATGAAATAGACAGGCTTTTTATGTTCATTATTGCACGATATATACACAGCACAAAAACAACAACAGCAACAAAAAACAACAACAAAAAAGAATGTGTGCACGTCATTAAATCAAAGGACGTCGGAACAAAAAAAATTCTACGCTCAATATAGATCAGCATATTTTTAAAATTTATCACTTACCTTTTTTATTAGTATGTTAAAATGGTAATTAATTTTTCTTGCATTGTAATATAATAATGTATGGTTTATCATTCAAATGCTTTTTAATAAAACACTCAGGCCTATCGATCTTTGTGATTATATTCCTAAGCATCTGAACTAGAACCGTGCATGATTTAGCATCAATGCACTCAAAATTGATATATATTTCCTAAATAACATAACATCAAATCACTGTAAGTGTGTACTGTAATGTGTCATCAACATTATCAAATTATTCTACATCCGTGTCAAAATTTGACCTTGAAATTTTAATTCTTCTTAAATGTGATGTGTTGAGATTTTGTTGCAGTGGTTGTTTCTTCATCTATCAGACATGAACAGGTTATATCCGATTTACTGGCCAACTCTGTATCACTGAATCTAGCTGATACTGAAGTTATTAAAATCTTCATACTTAAATTCTTTATGACAGCACTTAAAAATGATAAACACTGCGTGCAAATACTGTTTTAGGCGATGCCAATCTGTGAGGACGGTTGCTTGCATTTACCACTACCATCCTAGAAAGGCTCAATAAAACTGAGTCTTCAAACATTTTTCATATTGTCTGTTAGGGCTTTTTTTTTGGGGGGGGGGATTCCGATCCGTTTTTTATATTATTTCTATTTTACCAATTTGACAGTCATGACGTTTCATATGAAAAATAATAAATTATATCAATTCTAATTGTTTGCCATTCCTTATAGAATGTGATGATTATTGTCCTGAATACTAGTAAAAACCTTAAACCTTAGTGAAATTATGCCTATCCAATGATATATAGTGAGTGAACAGTTTAAAGTTAAAATAAGTTTTCTATTTTGTCATTATACCTTTAAATTAACAATTTACTTCGCATGAACAATTAATAACTCACGTGACCTTAAGTTATTTTTTGTAAATATCCACAGGAATGCTCTTTAAAAAAATAAAAAAAATAAAATAAAAAAAGGTAGGGCGGTTTTTATATTTTAACAGACTTATTTTATCCTTACCATTTCCCAATAATCACCAATACTCGCAAACCAGTCATTTGTTTTGAATGTATAGTCATTTTAGCTCCACTTGACGATGGATGTTTAACATTTGATTCGTTATCGATTATTTTGTATGTAAAAATAATTGCCTTATTGCAATTATATGTTGTCTATCACGTATGCATGCGGATGATATAAATTAAATGATAAATCTTAAGATGCTTTAAGAGAGGCGGACTTGTAACATACTTTTAAATTTTATACCAATAGATTACATGCACACATTGATTTTTTTTGTTAAACAGTTATACATAGATTTATAACAATGAATGTGGTTGAACACCGTCAATATGCAATAATGGAAAATGCTCAATACAAATAGTAAATTAAATTTATGTAGAATCATACATAAATGATGAAGTATTTTTAAAGTGAATAACTTTATAACTTCAAAATAAATTCTTGTCAAAATTAAACACGTCTAAACTAATTTCCAAAATGATAAAAAAAAAGATTAATATGTCATTGCTTAACCTGTTTGATATATCATAATTGCTAATACATACATAGTTAAATTGTTTCTAAGTGAGTAACTTAAAGATATATTCATATCGTTATGACCTTTCACGTCTTGGTTTGAGTCCATGTTTGCATATTTATTGGTACTCTAAAGAAAATCATAAGCTGCTCTATCTCTTTAATAACAAACTTGCATATTATTACATGAACATTATGACTCTCAACAGGTCGCATTCATAATATATTTGTATATACATTGTGGCTCTCAATACAACCCGGAGCGGTAATTTGCATTACAAACAATTTGTATTTGTTCATACAAATAACAATGATGTTTTATGAAAAAAAAACAAATACGCTTTTATTGTCATCTTTGAAGTCTTAAATTAACGTGTTTGATTTTAAACAACTTATCTATGAATATACAAGAATTTGTAACAAAAGCTGTACTGACATTGATTTGGTCTTAGTTTCTAATATTGATAGAATTTCTCAGTCAGGAGTTATCAATACACGTTTTCGTGACCATTGTTTAGTTTTTTGTACAAAAGAACTTACTAAAATACCTACTGGTTCCCAAAACGCTGTGAAATTACGTTCACTGTGAAATAACGTTCGTTGAAAAGAAAAATAATAAAGATGACTTTCAAGCTAACTTATTATCATATGACTGGAGTCTTGTCTTGTTAAATGACAATGTTTCTGATGCAAGAATATAAGAATCTTACACCGGCTGCCGGTACAGACCGGAAATCTAGCTCGAGGGTAACTGTTTACGGCGGTAACGAGGCTCTGCCGAGTTTCCGCTAAACAGTTACCCGAGAGCTAGATATTCCTGTCTGCACCAACAGCCGGTGTTTGATTCTTTTTCTTGCATATTACATGTCAATTATTTCGGAACAGAAATTATGAAAACTGACATTACACACTTTTTTCTTATAGTAGCGTATGAACATACAACTTCATTCATAACAGATAAATGACGTCATCCAAAGAACGCGATTCATTTATAAAAGGCGCGCGTCAATGACGTCTTTTGAAGCACGCGACTTGTCTTACATGGGGGGGGGTGTAAGACAGAGTTTTCTAGCACCGGTGTAAACGGTAGATAATCCTGTCTGAGATGCAAGAAATAATTTTAAATTTGTATTATTGTCAAATGTTGAAAACATTGCTCCTGTCAATCAAAATCGCATTTAACAAAGGACGGCGCAATGGAAATATTCTGATATTTTACAGTTAATAATATAAGAGAGACAAAGCTTTTAATAGTTTTAAATGGGATAAAACTGATAAAAATTTTGAAAACAAATCTATAAGAAATGATACTCAACAGGAAGTCATATGTATTGCGAAAAAAAAAAAAGAAAAGAGAATTTCTTTGTGGGTACACTTGAACAAAATAAAAATATTTCTTCCTCTAAATATCTCTTAAGGATCTTTGATTGTTTCCAAGAAACAAGCTAAAAATGGCCTGGGAAAAGTTGAAAATAATTGCTTTCATAAAAATGTCAAAGCTGAAACTTTCAATTCTTTTTACACCACTGTTGTAGCTAAGCTTGTTGAAAAATTGCCTGATGTTAATCATAGATATAGTAATGAAATGGACTAAGGCAATATTGTAGGCATGATACTTTTAGATCTACAAAGGGTATTTGATAAACTTGACCAAAACATACTATAATTAAAACTTCAGGTATCTGGCATAGGTAATGACATTCTTACATGGTTCAAGTCTAATCACTCTGATAGACAGCAGCTAGTAAATGTGGCTGACTGGTACTCATAACACTGCTCCCAGTGTCTATTCTAAGAAGGGGGATGGGGGATTCACTCATATTTTTTTAGAATTCCCCCCTATTTTTCAGAGGCAGGGGGAAAATTTCACATAGAGAAAGAAGGAAAAAGATCAACAGATGTAAAAAATTCTCACTTTTCGATAAAAATCCACGTTTGACGAATCCTAGAATAGACACTGTGCTCCCATTACTTGTGGTGTCACCCAGGGGTCCATTTTATGTTCTCTTTTATTTTAAATATCGTATGTCAATGACATGTTTGCAGTCATAAGCAATAAGCTTGTTATATGCTGATGACTCAGATATCCCTGTAACTGGTAAATATAAATCTAAAAATGAAGAGTTCTATCTTATGACATGAGTCTTATTAGTGACTGGTTAATTGACAATGAATTGTCTGTGCATCTTGGCAAGACAGGGTCGGTCATTTCTTTTTGGGTACAAGTTGAAACTTAATCAGGATCCAAACCCCCAGGTCACATGTCACTGGTACTGTTATAAAAAATGTTCTGTTTAGTATTTTGGTGCAACTCTTGATCCAAATCTATCTTTTGAGGTCATGGCACAAATCATTTTTCAAAAGGAAAATGACAGGTAAATGTTTCTTTACGGACAAATGGATATCTAGAAACTACTGGTTATGTCTTTTGGTACATTGGTAATTTTGACAATACATGTACAACCTGGTATCATGGGTTGACACAGGTTTTAACAATAAGCACCAAACAACACAAAACAAGTTAATGAGATTTGTATTTATTCTGACCAGTAGATCGCATATAAGTGCAGAACAATTCAAAACACTAAAAAACACCGTGTGGAACAAATCATTTTATGTCATATTTTTAAAGTCAAATTTTAAACTTGGGGTGATAACTTTATCCTGAAGGTACTGTTCATGGTCAAAACACACGCCTTTATAAAAGTGGGCATATTCAATTTCTAAAGTTATAAGGTTTGGATCAAAATCATTTCTTACAAAGGCTGTTCACTGTTAAACAATTTACCAGCCAGTTTTACTCACATGAAAATTCTGCCTGTTTTTAAACTTGCTGTGAAACAGTACGTTTTAGATAAATTTAATTAAACGGTACTTTATGACTTACTAGTCTAATAACATTTTATTATACATTTTGGCATGAGTCATGTATGACGATTTTCTTTTATAAAATAATCTTTATATAATTTTTTGGATAGTATGTCTGAACTATTAGGTAGAGTCTGAGAGTAACTTCTATACAAATGTAATTAATTATCGTATCGTTGATATAAATGTTTTGTTTTGTTTGTTTCTTTTATAGAATTAAATCTAGTCAACTTTGGATTTTATATGATAATATCAATATAAAAAAATTACGTGATGAATTGTGTGTGATACTGTTTTTTTGTGATATTTTCTGTGACAGTTCCCATCAAGTATTATCAGAGCCTCTCTATGTCACGCCACCAGCACTTAGGAACCGCAAACCCTTCTTTGTGTTATCCCGGGTGTTGAGTTGCATGTCATGGTTTTTGTGCTTATGTTCGTGTTATGTGTCACATACATTATGCCAAAATCTTACATCAACATAACACCGTTCATAACATATTTGTATATACATTGAGCCTCTCAATATAACCCTGAACAGGCATGTAACATTCATAACATATTCGCATATGCATTGTGCCCCTTAGTACACTCATGTAAGGTTCATTACAAATAAGTATAAACATTACGACAATCGTTAAAATCCGGATGGTCTTGTAGAGCTCATATCAGAGAATATCTATTGTTAACAGTTGTACATTTTTAATTGAATAGCAATGGCAATTTAAAACAATTCAAAAAGCAATTCAAAAGTTGGAAAAATAAAGATTTATTTAGAACATAGGTAAGCATTTCTTTATTAAATGTAAAAATAAGTTGGATATTAGTATCTAATGACGAATTCATCTATTATATATATAATGTATCACAATAATATTGAACATAGATGGTTGTAAAATTTTGATTTTCTTTGCGACTATATTAAAAGACTCCTTGTCATATGTGACTATTTTATTAAGGTCCCTTGGAAAGTCACATAAACGGTCCTATAACGTTCATAACATATTTGCATATACATTGTCACTCTCAAGGTAATCCTTAGCGGTCCTGTAACAAAATTTATACTGATCCTGAAAATAAATGATAGGAAATAAATCAGATCTTTTCGTTCTATTTTGTCTAGAATAAATATGCCTCAAACCTTCACTTACAATCTTATTCGTCTTGTTTTTTAGACATTTTAATATACTTGGGATATAAAATCTTATGTAAAATAACATGTTAAATATCAATTAATAAGCATGAATATTAAATAAAACAGTGACTTTCAATAAAAGACAGCTACTTGCACAATATGCACAATTTATGTTCTGATTTTCTCTGAAATTAATGAGTAAATAATGTGTATGTATACCTAAAAATATACACTTTTAAATTTCAATATGTTAGAAACGCGGCGTTAGTTACAGTTGACGTATGCTATAAGAAAACATTCCTCACATAATATAAAGATATGTTATTATCTTGAACACTTACAAAGCTGTCGATTATTTGTTGCCTACTCTGCCTGACCATTCTGACAGTTTCAGCAATAGCAACCTCGCCATCTGCTTTCATTCTTTCAAACAGAGCTATCAGAACGCAAATAACACCACTTTTCCTAGCACCGTCACTTAAAAAAATGTTTTCCACTGTATAATGTTTTATCGCATTCATTTCTTTCCATACAAAACAACAACAAAAAACAACAACAAAAAAACAGAAATGGCCATGCGATTTAAGAAAAATTATCAATGAATACACTATTGATATAATGAACATATAATTTGATAGAAGTCTCCTTGAATAGCATATCATAAACATCTTGTCAACAAAAGAAAATTTAGATTATTATAAGTAAGAAATTAATCAACAGCTTGAGGTGACTCAAATGTTTTTTTTAAAGCACTGTTAACAAAACAACAGTGTTAAAAGCTACAGGAACCGATTACTATTTCATATATTTCATTCACTTACTTGCATTGGATGGTAATAAGATTTGTTGTGTCCGTAATAACATTTTGCATATCAGTGATCATGCTAAGAACGGCTTCTGTGTCTTTCGGCGTTGCAGTATCCCCAGACCAAGCTTTAAAATGAAACTGTTTCACAATTTTGTGCTCGGTCTGAAACATTATTCAGGTTACGTAATTTACAAACATAATTATCATTTATAAGAAAAGAGAACAGAACAATTATTTCACTTGTAACAAGATGTACATCGTGTACAATAAGTAACATATTTACAAAACATAAATATTATCACAAAGGTAGGTCTATTTTGAACATTCATAGACATGTTATATTAATCATTGAATTATTAAAAGGATGGATAAATATAATCAAACATTATTCACAAGTTCAATTCTAAATTTACAAAATTTACAAAGCAAAATAAGTCTATCTTATTTTATAAGTCTATAATATAACAATTTATTATGAATTGATTCATGTTTTGTCTAATATTTTGTTTGGTTTATTTTATGGCGCCCCAACACATCTACTAACATCCACATAAGAAATTATAAATGTTTATATGATTGGATTATTACAACATTGGTATCATTTGAAAAGCAATATGTTGTAGGAAAAAAAGTATTCCGATGACCGGGTTATAAATCTACGAATTCATGTTATCCTAATTGTGTGATGACTGAACTACTGTTTTTTCTTTAGTTTGACTATACCTGTCCAGATAACCAATAACGAATCGTTCTGAGCAGGTATGTAGATTTCCTCTCTTCTTTTACAAGCTCAGATTTAAATGGACCAATTTGTAAAACGTCATTCCGTGACGGCCAATATTCAAATTCCTATAACATACAAAAGAAGAAGAAAGATAATGTCACAAATGTTCAGTATGTAGGGACATCTCTATTTCAAAAATAGTGAAATAGTGCATATGAAAAACTGAGATAAAATGATACCAAATCGAAAAATATTTGCATACAAGACAATAGTTCTTTAAATATAAATGTTATTCTATGTATACACATGTACTTTTCCTTACACGCTCTATTTTTTCTTCCAGTAACAGGATTGTTTGGACATCGAACTCCCAAAGCATTCTTATGAAGTCAACAACCGTGTCTTCTAAAGGCACCTGTGTCAATATCATGCGATCCCTCTGTCGGAATGTCTGCACAAATATTAAATTAAAAAAAAATCGAGATTTTTTCAAACGGCTTTGCAACGTGTAATGAGAAAAATGAATACAAACGAAATGCTAAGTGCTTGAAATTACGTTAGTTATGCAAACGTTACTTACCTTTTTCAACACGTGTTAGAGAACCATTATTGGCTAAATTTATATATAAAGGTTTAAAACTGGCGTAGGTTATTTCATATACATAATGTAGATTTTATACACTTTATATATACAAATAGATAAATACAGAGTCCCTAAAGAAAGCCCAACACGGCAAAATGTGTTCATACGGCGGTTATCATGGAACCTTCAATGTGACACTTCCGTGCCATTCCATGAAAAGCGGCGTAAGTCACGTAAAAACTAATGGGTTTGGACTTACTTTTACAAATACAGCATTAATGAAATCATTCCGGCCATCAACATTGCTCAACCTTGGTCGATTTATATCCACTGAAACAAAGGAGATAAGATATCTATAATATTTGACACATTTTCAATACCTAAAAAGAAAAAAATATGCCAAAAAGATACCAACAGATTCTTGAATTCATTATAGAGTGTAAATTTTCTATCCTGATTTTACAATTAAATATCAATTCAGGTCAATGTTGCAATCCCTTTATTACTTTATCGGCACAATTTCAAAATTAGTTTTTTGTATAATTATACAAAGAACAAATAGTCATTAAATTTATACGGGGATATATCTCAGGATTTCTAGATTTGTGTATATTTTCTGTAAGATGCGCGTCCGCCATTTGCCTCTTCGAGAGATTGCTGTAAACAATGTCCTCTTCCGATTCGGCTGCTTGTTCCTTTTGCGTTGATTCTTCGATTTTCTGACCATATATAAAACTTGATAATTAGAGCATATAAATGAATATATAATCTATAATCTCGTTACATCGAAACATTAATTGATCGTCTTTTCTTTATAACTGTTTAACAATAAAATCACATTTTCCGGTCGATGCCTTTCGAAAAAAATGAAATAGTTAATGTTATATCTAAAATATTTAATAAATAAAGACAATGTTGAATGTTGAACAGTCTATTTTTAAATAATTTTTTATATATTTTGGTTTCTTTCTTCTATTGTTTAAAAGGCTAATCTTTTTGGAAATTATATTAAGATCAAAGGTAAAACAATTACATCATCATCTAATTAAATCATGTATTCTAGACCACGTTTGATCGCATAAAGCGTTATTCATTTTGCATAAAGAGTCGTTTACTTCTTATCACTGTGTCTATAATCATCTGTTTGCTTGATGTTTCTATCGCAATGTTGTTTTGTTCATCTTGTTTCAGAAAGTAAGTGACATGTATTCAAATTAAATTTTTTGTTGACAAACACAAAAAACCCAACAACAAAAAGCAACAAAACAAAAAGAAACTTAAAATAGAAAACCTTATTAAAGTTCTTTCAATTCAGTTAGCTCTTTATATAAGTGTTTTATACACAATTACTTTTACTGCTGCCTAAATACTTAATATTCCAACGGATCTTCTTAGATGATTTTATTAGATTGAGATGAATTATAATTTAGCCCCTTTTGAGTTCTGTCTTTGCTTATGTTATATTAATTGTAAACGGTAACCGACACATCTTATTCCAGTATCAATTGATAATTAAAACGACAGTAAACCTTTTATATTTACCTTGTATTCTTGTAGTAAATTATCTTCTGACAAGAGTACAGAGTAACACGTTTCAATAAATTCGTCTGTACTATAAACGATTCCAATTGGATCAAGAATCTCAGAAACTACTTCATGGAGGTACATATACTGCGCCTACCAACAACATGAAGTCAGTATAAAAATAAAATGTTGGCAAAAAAAAAGAAGAAAAAAGAATATGAAATGTTAATGTTCATTTTAAGTTAATGGCAAAGTTACATTGACATAGTTTGTGATATTGCATTATCTGTATTGAAATAAGAACTTTCTAGAAATTGTAAAATACAAAGAAGGTTTTTGTTTAACAATAATGTTAAGAATGTAAAATCTTCGGAATTTTAGAAGAACAGGACGATTTCTAAAGAGTTGTATTATCTCCATATTTATTCCTTGTGTTAGTTTTGAACCATACCGTTGTTTGTACCATGTTTAAACGCTGTTCACGTAGCTTTCTTACAGAAGCACAAATATCAACATGCCCTTTACTCAATCCTTGATCATACAAATAGTCTACGGCAATAAATGTCCCTGTCCTTCCAACTCCAGCACTTGATGGCATAAAAATAATATAACAAACAAACCTTATCCATTTTTATTTATGTAACATGCAAAATTTTATTATTCTTCAAATCACCGACCAGTATTTTCTAAAAACAATACACAGACCAGGACAATATAAATCAAATATTGAAAATAATGTAAACAATTTATTTCTTCCAAAGAAGAAATATCTTAATATAAATATTAGTATTATATTCTCAATTTAAACATGGACTGTATCTCAAGAGAATTATATCACCACTGTACAACTAGTACAAATAAGCCAAGTCTGCGACAAATTTTGTCTTATTTCCTTTTTTGGGTTCCGCTTGTATCAATCGATTCTCTATTAAAATAAATACACTTTATATGACTACATGTTGGTATGTAAATCTGTACGTGTTAATAGGTTAAGCGCCAATTATGAATTTCTATGTAAAATAAGAACAAAAGTACATACCTGCAATGTACAAGCAAAGGTGCTTTGATATTACCGTAACTCTTTTTGACTGCACCCCAGAACTGAGCAAGCGATAAAGCCGAATCCGGAACATCTTTGTCAGGCCAGCCTGTGAAATGGTACTGTAACACTGTCCGTCGTTCCATTGTACCTGACTGATACAAAGTAGTTGATAGTGACGTTTTTCTAACTTGCATGAACACTTTTTGTTAATAGCATGCCGGGTTTGTTTTAACGTAGAAAGCACGTAAATGCATTTGAGAAGACGAGTTGATGAATTATTGTTTGAACCTTCCTAACGCGTTTGTTTATGCAGCATCAAAATGGTCAGAAATGGAATTAAAGTATTGGAAATAATGACCCTTATAGGCAAACAATAACACAGTATTGTACAATTAAATACGGGACAGCCACACATTTACCACCGGCTTTAGTGAATATAAGAGGATGCATTCTTATTCTCTAATTTTAAAGTAAATATGTTTAAAAATAGGAAAAGAAGTAAAAATACGTTATGAATAATTACATTGTAGCAATTAAATATCCTTATATCAAAATCTGAATATGTTTCAACTGCCGAAGCATGTACAGATATATCGCCATAAACTTTAGATCCTTCGTCCGGCCAATACTGTATGCACTTTATCTACAAATGTAATAGAAAAAAATATGCATTTTACAAATCTATGCGTGTTAGATTATTTATCAAGTTATAACATTATTGAAATAAGTAATAAAAAGAGCATCCAAATACGAGGCTGATCTGATTTGTACGAGGGGCGTAGCCTGCGAGTATCAATCAAATTGCCTCATGTTTGGATGTTCTTTCTCTTAAATATCATAGGCAGTAATAAAAACACATTCCTTGTTGTCACAATATAAAACCCCAGAAACAAGAAACATGGCAATGCCATGAAACCAGGTTTTCAATTATCACCATTGTAGATAAATATGTTGTATTTGAAATACAAATACAAGCAACAAACAATGTAACTATGTGCAATGTAAAACATGAATAATGTAGGAGGAATTGCCACTGAAGAAGTGTTCACTATAATATTATGTATAAGGAAAAAAACAAAGGGCCATAATTAGGTCAAAAACTATCCAATCACAAAACCCCGACAATATGTGCCAGGGTGCTTGATGACAAAGCTTCTGTGAAAGTTTGAACAAAATCCGTTGAGAAATGTAGGACGAGTTCAGCACAGAAGAATTTGTTCACTATAATTATATTGATAATTCTGTATAATGAAAAACAAGTTACAAAGTAGACATGAAATAATATATCATATCTTTTTTTAAATTACCTCCAAAGATGATATGACCTTTGACTGCCAAATCAAGTTAAAATCATGTAAACAGGATTTTCAATGTTAATGTCACTGTGACCTTGACCTTGGAGCCAGCCATGCGGAACATGCGTTCTGCACGTCATCTTGATGTGGTAAACATTTGTCTGAAGTTTCATCAAAATTCTTCAAAGGGTTGAAGAGTTACAGAGCGGACAGGATTTTCAATGTTAATGTCACTGTGACCTTGACCTTGGAGCCAGCCATGCGGAACATGCGTTCTGCACGTCATCTTGATGTGGTAAACATTTGTCTGAAGTTTCATCAAAATTCTTCAAAGGGTTGAAGAGTTACAGAGCGGACAGGATTTTCAATGTTAATGTCACTGTGACCTTGACCTTGGAGCCAGCCATGCGGAACATGCGTTCTGCACGTCATCTTGATGTGGTAAACATTTGTCTGAAGTTTCATCAAAATTCTTCAAAGGGTTGAAGAGTTACAGAGCGGACACAATTTCGTTTGACAAATCAAGTTAAAATCATGTAAACAGGATTTTCAATGTTAATGTCACTGTGACCTTGACCTTGGAGCCAGCCATGCGGAACATGCGTTCTGCACGTCATCTTGATGTGGTAAACATTTGTCTGAAGTTTCATCAAAATTCTTCAAAGGGTTGAAGAGTTACAGAGCGGACAGGATTTTCAATGTTAATGTCACTGTGACCTTGACCTTGGAGCCAGCCATGCGGAACATGCGTTCTGCACGTCATCTTGATGTGGTAAACATTTGTCTGAAGTTTCATCAAAATTCTTCAAAGGGTTGAAGAGTTACAGAGCGGACACAATTTCGTTTGACGCCCGCCCGCCCATCCGCCCATCCGCCCATCCGCCCAGCCGCCCATCCGCCCATCCGCCCATCCGCCCGCCATACCCCAATCTAATAACCAGGATTTTCAAAATTGAAAACCTGGTTAAAAAGTAACCAATGAATGTGCATCTGAATATGATATTTTATTTCTATCACTTCCTCTGTCGTAACAATATGTAAACGCGAGACAAAATGAACCAATCAATGGACATGCTCTAGAGTGCGGGTAACTAATACCTGCTCTCGAGTTAACGCACTCTCTGACACATTTTCAACAGAAACTATGACGCAAAGGTCATTTATACAACTTTTTCTGAAAATTAATCTTGTTGTTTTCAGGATGTCAAGAAACATTTAAAGATCCTGTATGTTATAATTGAGGTTGTATACCACACTCAAGTAAAATTATTATATATGTATATAATTATGCTTATAAAACAATTTTCAAACATCAAAAAATATGTAAAATATGTACTGCAAATATTTGTACATATTATGTGCTATCATTAAAGTATATGCATTCATTTTTTATTGAAAAAGTTGACTCAGACTTTATAGAAAATATTGTTTATTACCTCACTTTATTTACATAAAATGTTAAATTGGGTAATATATTTATAAATAATGCTTTTTGGAACTTACAAACTTGATAAATCTTAATTGAGCATCATATTTATGATATAAAACCATAAAAATTGTGTTACAGGATCTTAAAAGGAAGTTAGAATATACGAACGCGATAACCGATTAAATCAATATCTTTACTTGGCCTAATTCGGAGCATCTTGTCAGCATGACTATAATTTTAATTTCATGTGACCACACCATTCTCCAAATGTCATCTACAGTTCCCTCTAAAGCTCCTGTTAAAAGGACAAAAAAGAAAGAAAATAAAAGTATATTTTAGTAGAAAGTTGCAATACTTTGCCTATGATGCATTTCATGGTATTTGTGAGATTTTACATGACTCCTTTCACTGCGAGTTCTTATCCGGCAAGAAACGTTTGATTCTTTCATTAAAAGAATCTGTCAACCTAGTTTTTTTTTATAGATCGTAGGTTGTACAAAGCTACCAGCGTATTCCGGAAAAGACATACACAGATATATTATTCAAGTATTGCTCAGTCTGTAAAGCTTGAACATCGCGATATGATCTTCACGGTGTCGGTATAGATTTAACCAAAACTGATAGGTCTTAATTAAAAATTGGCAATTGAAAACTCGTGTTGCAGTTGACGGATGTTGTACTTTCTGTATCTCTAATAAACAGACTCTGATGGAGTCTTGAATTTCCATGTTATTTGTTGTTTCTATTGCCTTTGACGTATGTCCCCTTTGTCAGATTGTTATATAACTAATTAAATTATTTTTCTGCAACTGATCATGTAGAACTTCAAACACAGAAAATATGGCTACATACAAGCAGCTTACCTTGTGCGGCAATATATTTCTTTGGAGTTTTATATCCCTGTATAGAAAGGAAAACAGAAAAATATACAACTTGATGAAAATCTCTATATTAAATGTATTACTTCGGAATCCTTTAATTTTAAATTATAGTTAGAAAAGAAAATGTTATTAAAGCTGCATATACAGCAACAATCAGTATTTATCAAATTATTGATGGTGTGTCAAACAATAATGCTACATTGATAACATAATTATTAAATAATAAAAGATATTCATTAAAATATATGATCAAAGGTATGCATTTTTTAAGGATAAGCAAGGTAAGAAGTCAACTGACGTCTATGTAACTGGCATTAATGTAGGTTGACGCATTATCGCCAGGAATCTCAGGCAAAATAACCCTGTTTGCATTGTCTGAAAACAAAAGAAAAGACGTTATATACATCATATTTTTCATGCTATTTATATCAATTGGCTTGCTCAACAACAAAGAAGTGACTTAAAACTTATTATGGATAAAATTATGCTTCACTTAAAGTAACATTTAAGAATATCACTTGTTCGACTTGAAAAAATGTGAATATTAACAAAACTTGGACTTTGGAAAACGTACACTAATTACGATTAATATACATGTATATGGTTAAAAAATGTGTAATTCGTACATGGATACATATCCTTGTATCTGTTCTTTGATTTGTACTGCTTGCTCCTGGCTTCTGAGACATCAAATTGTAAACCATATGGAAGCGTCTGAATTAGAACTAATCTTTTCTTAATACTATTCAATTACACAACTTTACTATAAAATCATTATGATAGGAAAAAACAAAAACCCCTAAAATTTTCCAAAACTGAAAAATTAAAAAGTGTTGCAGGGCTCGATTTTATTGGGTCAGATCATGGACCATAGACAGTATTGGTAAAAGCAAGTTGCCTTTAACGCCATTCTTTCCCCTAAGAATCTATTCATCTGATCGACACAACAAAACTACTAAACACGTATACTTAATTACATTTGTAATATTAACATTCATATAAAGTCATCAATGTGTTTTAATTTTATTAATTTTAAAATGTAAATAAAAAGAAATTGAGATAAGATCAGACAATATGTAAACAACTGGCTGTCAGTAGAAGAAACAATATTTGAAAAGCAGACATAAATTGCTTCCTTCCTTCTTGTATGATTACCTGAAATTCTGCATATAAAGACGAAGGATTATTCTTAGCTGACTGACAAACATTCCGTAACTGTGATATCTGAATGGGCTTTGGTCCACTAGAATCATTCGAATAAACAGGTTCCATAGTTCCATTTGTGACAATTTCCTGTGTCGGAGTATCAATTTCGACCGTGCCACTTTTCGAACTGTCCCTACTCCATAATGCTTTTTAAAAGATGGAATTAAAATAAGTCACAATTTTGTATGAGAATGTACCAATTTAAATAAAGTTTCATCACAAATTTTTACATAACAGTTTAAGCCTATTATAGCATTCGGCACGATATGACCAGTTGTGTGTTGAGGTGCCGTAAAAATCCAAACAAACAAATCATCACACAAATTATAAAATTATATAAATTGAATGAAATTCGTGTAAATTTGTACATGTACAAAAGATGGGAGTTGTCATTTTTCTTCCAAAGATATCGTTTGTTGTTACCGTCTTTTACGGTTTTTCCGTTAAAAAAAATAGTTTGTAATTTATTCAATGTATGAGCGGAAAAACAGTACTGAATTAAATGTGTTTAATTAAATGTTAACAAATGTTACAAACAACTAATAAAATATATGATACTTTATGATTTTCTATTAGAGTAGCAACGATAAGACAGACAGACAGACAGACAGATAATTTATTTAAGTCTCACTTTTGTACATATATAACATATTAAATACAATAAAATAGATAAAATGCAAGTAATGTACAAAACCACTCTAAAAGAGTTATGAGAGACTAAGAGATAATATTGCATATCACATTACCATATAAAATAAACATATTTTCATTCTTGGAAATTAAAAGAAACCTTAAACGACTCGTATAAACATTAAATTAAGACATTATTAATAAAATACTTATTTAACATGTCAAACCGTGAAAATAGATATATACATATTAAAACTTATAAACTCATTTTTAAAATATTAAGCAAATATCACATGCAATTGTACAACTTTTTACGTCTTTCTTGTAAAATATTAGGGCAGGCTCTGGCCGTATATTTAACAATATCGGCATTTGACAATAGATAGACAAACTGTTCTGACTCACTATACAATGGAAAATCTTGATTCTGATCAGTGACTTTTCTATATAACTCTTGTCTAATTGTGTCATATAAAGAACAATGGATTCATACATGAATCTCATCTTCAATACATGTGTTTCAGTGAAAACATAGTCTTTGATCAATTGGTAAGCTATTATAGCGACCAGTCTCTATTTTGAGAGGGGCTACCCCAGTTCTAAATTTCGCCAAAGCACTTCTGTGACTTCTTGATAAAATTTCACTTTTAATATATGTTTCTGTTTTATATTCACTCTTAAATGTTCTGTAGTGTCTTAATTTATTACCTCTATTTTTGCCACTAACTCCCGTATCTGAGTTTATACATCTTTGCCAGTTAGCTTTAAATTCATTAAACAAAAACGATTGTATTTCGTTATTAATTTGTTTTCTTGTTGGATATGTATGTTTTTGTGAACTGTTTTGCTTTAACAATGTTATTATACGACTACACTTTTAGACAAACTATAAAACGAAATGATGTACACAATTAACATGATTAAAACGTTAAGCTGCATTACCGTGTGGATTGGATAATTCATTTTCAGCTTTTCTTCCTTTTTTTCCAGGTAGTCTTGGTCAAAATAAAAAACGGAATATAAGAGTATGTGAAATTTCGAATTGTGTTTTTACGAATATAATTAGTAATACTTGAATGTTTCTATAACATATCATGAAGACAATACTTGTGTTTCCTAGATTCATTCAATTAAACGTAATTTTATCATAGAATCAGATACAATATACACTGTCTTAGATTATTGAGACATTGCATAGTAATAACTTGATACTCAAAAGAAACATAAATAAATGTGCATATATATCCAAAAAAATCTTTGTAATGAAGAAAGGCAATTATAAACAACAAAGAAAACGTAATATCTGTAGAAAAGAAAAACGATAAGTCTCACCGATTCTGTTTTAGTCTTCGAAAAATCAAAATGGCTAAAACTATTGCTACTAAAACTGCTACACCCACAATAGAGCCAACAATTGTTGCTGTTGGAGACGTAGATGGTCCTGACACTGTCAGTCAATATAATAATTGTTGCTATTTTAGTACAGTTATTTTATGAAGAAATTGTTTAGTCTATTGTCGTCAAAAATATTACATGCACAGGACATCGTATATTTCATATACATATACAATCAAAGTAAGAGTATCAGAAAATTTCAAAAAGATTTTGAATAAAGACACCAATCAATCAATCAATCAATCAATCAATCAATATTTTTTAGCATTTAGCAATCAGAATAAATATACCTTCGGTCTTTCACAATTAAAAGAATATAGAATATGGCTAAATCAAAATAGTACATCTTATACATTAATAATTCATATTGTTGATAATAATAATTCAATTGATAGCCAAACACATAACACATAAACATCAAAATATAATGTACATAAATACACAATTAAACATTGTTTGTCTGTTCAAATTCATTTCGTTCAATAGCTTGTTTTCTTACTTTAAATGCTTCTTTAATATATGTTGCTAATTTTAATTATAACTATAATCATTAATGTAACAAATTTATTAAGTGAAGGCAAATATGTATAATTTTCTGTTTCTGATATGATTATATTTCAAACAAATTAATAAAAATGATATTCAGGTTCAGTCTGTTTCTCATTACAAAATAAACACACTCTGTTATTTCTCTCTATATTATTAAATCTATCCGTTTCAATTACAAGATTAAGCAAAGACAAACAAAATATAGTCAACTGCATTCTAGAAATATGTAAAGAAATAAGTCACCTTTAAGGATACACGTTTCGCCGTCATACCCTTGTAGACACCCTAAAGGACACGCCCCGGTTGTATGTATGCAGTAATTTGCCTGGCAATTACCACATTTGAATTTACAATCAAGTCCATATGTACCATTGCTACACTCTAAACGTTTGATAAGAAGGCACATGAAAACAAAAAGATAGGAAACAGAACTAGTAAAGGATAAGAGGTCATTTGTTTTTAGAAAAGAAAGAAGCGCAGGTTTAAGTTTAAACTTAGAACTCAAGATTTAGATTTTATAGACGCTTTAAATGAAATAAACATGGACTTCAAACTTGAAATTGAAGCAAAACACAGTGACATTTATATTCAATTTAAAACAAATATTTAGGTCTTAAAGGGAGACACAGGCAAAATTTTCATTTCTTCGTTTGAAATTTTCATTCAATAATCTGTAAATGTCCTCAAAATGAATACACTAGACAGTCACAGGAACAAAACTTTCCTCCTTATAAAGAATAAAATGGTGGTTTCCTAACTTGACTCACGTGTTGTTTCAATTATATCTACAGCATCTGTTATTGTCACTTCCAGGGTTTGTTCAAGTCACATGACTTGTTTTAGAATTACTCGGCGATTCAGACAGTGGCCAACTTTTGTTCAGCATATAAAGATATATTTACGCTTCAAACTCAAAATATATAGAATTTACACATAAATTCATGACGGGGTCTGCACAAATGTCACTTTAACGTGATTTGAGTATATAAGATAATTTTAAAATGTTTATCATCAATTTGCCTTAATATCCCTTTAAGAAATAGTATAATATAAAAACTCGTTGAACATTACAATTGGTTCCAGCTTCACATGTATACAAGGCAAATGTATATCAGTTATTTTATATTCTATAACTACCGTTATTGTAGCTACTTAGACTATTTATGTATTTTATAGCTCACTCCGCCCCTTCCTGTGCTTTAATATCCAAATATCATCGAAACGTTTCAAAGTTGTGCTCCACTTGTCTGGCTATTTTGACATTGTGCGCGATATCTGTTACGTAAAATCTTAAAGTGTAATTATTCAGAGGTCAATATGGCAGTTTTTCAATATGAAGAAATAAGCTTCGCCTAGTGGATTAGTCGATTTAGAACGCCATAAATGTTGCGGCATATCTTTTTGTAAACAAGCAAATTCTAGAAGATTCAATAAATGTCTGCAGAAAGGTTGGTTTTAGCAAAGTGTGGCTATTTTTCTGTGCATGTTATTTACCAGTTATTTGTAACAGATATTAGGAAGCAGACCTACGCTCAATGATTTTTCTGCTAAAAGGTAAACCTAATATACAGGCTGATGCCTATCATATTTCTGCCTTATGCATGTAAGGGGGCGGCATACAGTGTTTCAGTATATGAAAAGAGCCATCTGCGCACAATAAGATTAGTAAGGTTAGCAACGTTTCAATAATATTTTTTCAAATGTTTAGAAAATGAGTCCTGTTACTGTTTACATCAATGTTTATAAATGTTTATAAATTATCAGCTGAAGCACGAATGGTGTTTTCCCGCACCAAAGCTCAGTATATACAAAAAGACTATTTTTAAGAGTTAGACTCAAGACCGTCCGAATTTTTACAAACTGATATTACACATATGTCTGTGTTTACGAAGGGTTAAGCTATTCTACCTGTTCAGTAAAATTTAATCGTCCGTTTGCGTATTAGAAACATTTGGCTACATGTTAACACTGTCGCTCTTAATTTTTAAGGGCTGCCAAAATTCTATTTGGGCGTGGTATATGTTACAAGAAACGGATCGACGGAAAAGGGGCGGTGTGAACTATAAGCCGGTTATAGGTAACATGTTAGAATTATATACAAATTAAATGCAGCGGTCTCTAACGCTCCCTTGCACTTAACTTGTATATAATTCTGATATATAAACTATAACCTATACTTATAATCTGGAGCGTCAGTTATTTGTTTCATTGTGTCATTTGTGCGTACAGAAACCCTTAAATAAATGGCTTATTCTCACGTTCTTTGCAATGAGAGCCGTTCAATCCCGCTGAACAACCTGATTGACAGATCCCGTCATATCTATTGCAGTCAGACAGTTTGTAGCAGTTGCCACAGGTTTCACGACAATTTTGTCCATATTTACCGATATCACATTCTTTAAAAGATTAATAGATTATATATGAAACATCAAATTAAGAATGCGATATTTCCTCACCACCTCCAAGATAATTACATAGATTTTGACAATTACATATGTAAAAGTTATGGTAAAGATGTAAATCGTTAGTATTCATTATGAATTGTTACATTTACAATGGTATTAAAATATGAGAACACGGTTTAACATGGCAAGGCAACACTCACAGAACGTATTTCTACCATCCCAACAAGCCATACAAGCAGGACACTCAGAAGTCAACAAACAAATGAAAACGGGATAGGGCACGAGCGCGGGAAAGGAAGGGGTGCATGCTTTAAGTATTGATTCAGTTAGTATACCATCTTATAACAAATTCGTAAACATTGAGCGGAGAACATGTTATCTATTAAGTTTCATTGTGTTTAACATATTTATTTCTGACATACATATATATTTTTTTGTCAAATATGAAATATAATTGATTTAAACCCTTATATGTATACAACATAACGGTCAATTACATTTTGAGGAAGACTAAATGTCGAAAGCGTATATAACGTTTGTTTTCATTGAGTAAGTTGTAATATATCATAAATGTTCAAAAATATGTAGATGTTATATGACAGATCTTCTCTTTGGTTAAGAGATGAATAGAATTTTAATATCAATGGTAAAGTTACATACCATTTATGCATCTATCACCCTGCCATCCTGCCTCGCAGCCACGTATACAGAAACCGTTTGCATGGTTACAAACATCATTGTTTAAGCAATGCCCACATACTTCTGAACAGTTTGTACCATACGTTTTATTTCTGCATGCTGAAATAATGACACATTGTATAAGTGCTGTAAATACAAAGATAAACTGACATATATATACGGATGACTTTTACATATGATTTAAGCTTGAATGCTTTCATTCATTATTCCATGAAAACATAAATGGACAGTTCTTCTTTGAATTGACTTCATGTCAAAAATCTGATAAAATACAGTTTTTAATGATACAATTGCAGCAAACATTTTGGCGGTAAATATACATTGCCATTAACATAACAAACATGACATATGTAACTCATTCATCCATGATATAGATACATAGGGTTATTATTGGAGATATGTAGTCATTGTCGATTATGTAGGTCCTGGTAGAATATACAATAAAGTGTAGTTTCTAAAACTTTATCACTGAATGCCTTGCATTCCATTTTATTTAGTTCCGCCCATTCTTTTCCCGTTTAGGGCACACGCTTTCTATTACTTGTGGACCATACGCCGCATTTCATGGAAATTAATGGCACGGAAGTGTCACATTGAAGGTTGCGTGATTACCGCCGTATGAACACATTTGCGGATGTTTCTACATTCAAACTTTTACCAATTCATGTTTAAATGTTGAATTCTGCTTAAGCCGGTGCTAGGGGGTGTGGTCGTTGGTTTGCATTTGACAGGACCGTCCATGAACAGGCTCAATCAAACCGAGCCTACAACATTTTCAACCTTGTCGTTTTGGGCTTTCTTTGGGGATTCTTATTTTCTCTTTTTGATCAGTTTAATAGAATTCAAACATAACAGAAAAGATAAGAAAGTATCTTAAGTTTGATTGTAAATATCCTTTGAAAACACTTAGTATTAGACGTGCATCGAAACACGAGGCTATCTAATTTGTAGGAGGCGAAGCCCCCGTGTATAATCATATTGCCGAGTGTTTTGATGTTCTTTCTCTTTTGTATCATAGGCAAAAATGAAAACACGTTCCCTGTTGTCACAATATGAACCCCCCCCCCCAAAAAAAAAGTAACTAATGAACGAGCAACTGAATATCATATTTCTACCGCTATTCGTTTCCCCGTCGTCAAAATAAGTAGACCCCAGAAAAATATGAGCCGATCAATGGGCAAGCTCTGGAGTGCGGGTAACTAATACTTGCACTCCAGTCAACGCACTTTGCATCTATATGTATACGATTTAACTCTGGCACATTTTCAACAGATAGGTCCCCAAACTATGATACGATATACTTTTAAGAACTCATACCGTCTGTACATGTACTTCCTGTATAACCAGCATCACAGTTACCATGGCAATGACCAGTCATGTGATCACATGTGACGTGTCCTTTACAGTACCCACATCTTCCTGAGCAGTTACTCCCGTATGACCCTTCGTCACATTCTACACATTTATATTAATAACACGTATTTTAGAATTAGAAATTAAAAATATTCTCGACTTTCAACATTTTAGTTTATAATAAGATAAAGCATTATCTTAAAACATGACATTTATTATCCGACTAAGTAAGCTGTGCTTTTGAAGGGAAGTGAATGTTCAAAAATAAGAAATAAGGGTATTTTTGTCAATAAGCAAGTGTGAAATATTCACAATATTATTTTGTTTTACCACAGAATTCAACTGAAAAATTGTTTAAAAAAGTAGAATAAGTAAATGAATTGCTGATAAAATGCTGAGATGACAATTTCAGCCAACACATTTTTATAATAATAATAGATTAAAGGGAATTTGAACATTTTTTAACCTCTGAAAATTGTTTCTTAACAGTGATGAAAAAAGACACACACATACAAAATAACCAATATATCATGCATACTTTCGACACAAGTATCGCCTTTCCATCCATCTTCACATCCGTTGTCACATTTACCAGTAATGTACTCACATGTCTCATTGTTTATACAATTCCCACATTCTTGTAAACAGTTCATACCATACGTTCCATTACTACATTCTAAAACAAAAGATTCAGACCCTCAACCTATAACCACTTGCGCAAAATGGAACAGCATGTGAGACTATATTTGTTATTCATCACAATAATTTCTGTTATTTAGACCACCTCTTTTTTATCTTTGAATAATATCACAGACAAATGCCAAAAAAGAAAAACAATTTTCTTAGTATCAAATAAATGTAAAGAAATTAAACTTGTGAAAATCGTGCTGGTAGCATATTGTACAGTATAATAGTTATCGTTGTTCTAAAATTGCAATTATGGCCTATAAAAAATGGATTCTGTATATTTGGGTCAACAAGTTTTGAAAACTTGTAAATAAGCCTTCGAAAAGTAACAAAAGTGAAGCATACTTTCTGTACAATAATCCCCTGACCAGCCAGCCTGGCAACCTTCATCACAACTTCCGTTTACATGATTACACGACGAATTCAAGCAATAACCACATTCATGTGTACAATTTATACCATATGTTCCATTCCTACAGACTGAAGGCAGCAACGTACAATGTCAAATATATAATATAGTTACTTATATTACCTACATATTAACTACATTTTTCTAGAATGATATTATATATACAGATATCCAAATATACTTAACAAGTGTACATGTCCATAGCAAAATATTTAAACATGAAAATTATGTCTAATATTTATGGTATTTTCACGTGTAATATTTCAGAGAGAAACCATTTATGAATTAGAAATATTTTGTTTTGTTTTTAAGATAGTATGAAAACAAACATGTAAGTACATTCCCGTGTATATTTTATGCTTTTTAAAGAGTTAAGCTTAAAATTTAACAGTAAAGTTTTCAACCTTATTTCTAAAATTGTCCATTTTCCCCATACTTAATAAAAATAAAAACAAAACATATGTATATGTGTTTAAGAAATAATATATCCCAAACAGTGATTTTATCGCTCAATAACATCACTGTTTGGATTTCGGATGCGAGGAATTATATCACGAGGGCGTAGCCCGAGTGATATAATGATGCGCATCCGAACGACAAACAGTGATGTTATCAAGCGATAAAATCACTGATTTGGATATATTATTTCGATTCTAACACGACATCAACAAATAAATGTTGTCGTACTAGATAGTTAAGCAAAATTGCGCCTGATTTGTTTCCGTACTTATTTTCAGCGCATCGGATTTTAGTGGTTACGTCACGTGTATAATGATTACGTCACATGTCTAAATATAGAATGTCAAACTGTGCATCTGTTGCATAATAACATACACTTTCTGTTCTTCTATGTTCAATAGTGAAAAATGCGGGTCGTGTTAGAATATCTAATTAAGCATCATTGATAGTGTAGCCTTAATCAACCCACAGTTGAGGACCATCCAACGTATGTTCACTGTATACCTATCAAGTATGAAGGATATCGATTAATAAATTAAGGCTGGGTAAAAAAGGGATGTTGAAATTTATTTATTTCAAAACCGTGACCTTGACCCAAATGACCACAAACCTCAAACAAAAATACAAAATCGTCCAAAGAATCTATCTAATAAATATTAAAGATATCAGTCAGTCAATAAATGCAGGGTCTTTTGAAAAGTGAAGTAAAACGCGATTGAATTACAGATCGACAAATATATGAAACTGCAGAAGTAGAAAGCGGTGACATATTGTCCACATTTTATTTATTTTTTTTTTTTGGGGGGGGGGGGGTGGCGGCGTGGGCTGGGGTGGCGGTCGAAAGAAATAAATTAAATTTACCATCTATACAGAGGTCTCCGATATAGCCTGCTGAACAACCATCTGGACAATGACCACTGAAACGGTCACATATCATTCCTGAATCACAATATCCACAACTTTCTGCACAATTGATCCCATATGTTCCATTAACACATTCTAAAAATGTTACGGCAAGTAAAAATATTATCATTTCATAATATCAAACAATCAAATATATAGAACTGCGTTTTCAGATGCAAAATTACAGATTCCAAGCAGGTTTTTGTTCAATATGCATATATATAAGATGGCAGATAAAACAATAAATATATCTTACTCGATGGCAGATAAAACAATAAATATATCATTCTCGATAAATATCTTGAAAATACGATAAAAGTATGTTACCTCGAAGGTTTTGAAAATGTTGGTACTATATAGAATGTCTTTTGTCGGCAATGGAAAGTCTGCATTACAATAAATAATGGATTTAACTCAATACAGGACTAGAGCAGTACCTGAACCTCTAACCGCTTGCAGAAATCATGATAACAAAATAGACAAATTTGGTTTTATTCGCAAATTATTACAGTTTTTTTTTTAAATTCATTATCATGCATAAATCGGAGTAAACAGATGAGTTAGACCTTTTAAAGTTCATTCCGTTGGGTAAAAAGGCAAGATTTTAGCGTTTTATAATTCAAGCGCCTTGTCCGGTATATAACGGAATACGGTATTTAGTGTGGTGCTCAAATCCTTTTTATAGTGTCACTCATGAATATATATGTATATAGATTTTAGTATCATAATAATTAAATTAAACAAACTACGGAATAATTAAATATGGATGTTGTTGTAGTGTGAGATGCATAACTCGATATAACAAATCTATAACGACTAGATAATAAATTGTTTAAAACAAATTATTACTAGTCATCATGTAAATGTTTATACTATATCACGTATGTATACGTCTCTATTAATATTTGATTTTCAAAAAAAAAAATAATAAGAATATCAAAATCATACATTTCTATCATTTTTATCAATATCTAAAATAGTTATGGAAAATGTGCCAAATGTAGACCAATTCACTTTAAAGATATTCCTGTCTCAGTTTTTCTTCTTTTTTTTGTGGGGGGGGGGGGTTAGGGTTGGGTGGAAGGGGTGCATTCATTGAACGCCGCCTTTCCTTGTTCATTTTTAATATCATATTTTATTGAGCTTATTTAGACAGTACCTCTATTGCAGGTGCCGTTAATTCCAGTCCATCCGGAAAGACAACCATTTGGACAAATACCAGCAATTTTCATATTTCCGGTAATCTCTTCGTGACAAAAACACTGTAACGTGCAGTCCCATCCACAGCTATTAATAGGGCAATCTAGAACATAATATATATCTGCATATACCCTTTACGTAAGTACTTAACATGAAATGGAAAGTACATTATAGATTGTTTAAGATGTTTGCAATTAAACATTTTACAAATTATCAAAATTTATGCGTAATGTTAAAAAAACATAAACAAAAACACACTAATTAGGTGCAACAAGTAGTATATTTATAAATTTCATTTATATGTCTATAAAAACAGACGTTCTTCTTAATTTAAAACCACCCAATGGCTTTATCATTGTATTAGTTCTTTTAGCCTGCTATTCTGTACATGTATTAAGATACCAAACATAATTGGATAAAACAATTTATCTGGTCACACAGATTCAGTATATAGGAGTAAAGTATACCTGCAAAAACGAGAACTTCACAGATAGTGAGAATATCGCTATCCACTTCCCTTTTGATTTGAACAAACTGACCAATTTTTATTTCCTGTAGCATTGTCCTCATTGGTTGATAATCAGCAGCTGTAGAATCAGCTTGCGTATCTTGAAATATCATTTGTGTTATTGTTTCAGACAAATTACCAACTGATATGTTAAAACCTCTAAATTGTTCCTCTGAAAATGTACATTTTAAAAGTGAAATTATTGATGTACAAGGTGCCTGTTAACGCCTCAAGGGTTTCTTGTAAAAAGAAATACAAATGTTCTGTTGCTGACTTTATTATAATTCAAGATATTAATTTCATTTAACTAACACAAGACTTATTCTCTAGCAGCGCGTACGTTTCAAAAGTTCATGTTGTGGTATAGTATTTTGTTTTCCGCGGTTAAATTATTTATACAATTGACTGCAGATTGTGAACCAGGATAATTTCCTTTTGATGAATGGTGTCAGATATGCAACCATACAGTAATTCTGTGTTATAACTTGTTATAGGGACCATGGAAAGATAATAAACATAATTATTTTTCGATATATTCCGTTATTTTGACTGGTTTTTAATTGGTGGTCTATTTTTGTACCTCACTTTATTTCATTTTGGTTGGGTTGTTTTATTTTAATTTTTGTTATTATCTGCTTGTTGTTATATGACTGTTTGCTTGTGTTTCATTTCTGTATTTATCATTTATTTATTCATCTTAATATTTTATTTTATTTTGTGTTTCTTAGTTAAAGTTCTTTTGCAAAACTGAAATAAGAAACATATTCAATTGGTAAAGGTATGAAAAACATCTTAAATCATTATTTCATGTAAATATTACAATCAATCGCTGTACGAATCCAACAAAGCATTCTCAATTTTACCTTTATCACGTCTCCCATAAAAGTAGATGTCTTGAATTTCAAATATTTGTCCAAGATTGACTAGCCACCAGGGGTTTTCTTCAGTTGGTTGGGTTGCTGAACACGTTTCTCTTGTTGCCGGTTCAAAATTTCCAGAAAAGTTTGAAAGATTATGTCCATCTACACTTTTCGATGAATTAAACTGCTCATATGTTGAAATTTGATCAGTCTCTTTATTGAAAGAAGTAACTCTGCCTATGTCAAAGATAAAATCTATTGTTGGTATTGCTAAACTAAAGCATGCTTCAATTGTAATAGGGCCTGCTTAATATGACTTTCAAATCTCAAATTAGGCTATCGCAAATGTAAGGACTAGTGTAGTAAGGCATTTACTTTCAAGACATTTACTTACAACATTTACTGACAAAAATGGGGACAATATCGCTTATCATGTAAAAAGTTATCACCATTAATAAACCAAACTGCATTTTTTTACAATGAAATTATTCATCTATTATTCTATAATTAGCTCATCTTTACCTCCGTATATCTCAACCTCACAAATACGCAGTGAAACATCTTCAATGAAAAGTTTGACTCTGATATGTTTTGTTCTTACAGGCTGCTGACACATAATCTCCATTTCAGCTAAACCTTGTGAGTCAGGATGTTGATAACATATATTATTGTAGTCTGAATCATTAAGTCCTGTTTCAACAAGGAAGTTTGAATAAAATTCTGAAATACGATGGAGAAATGTTTAATATAACAATAGATTTAACAATAAAAAGTCAATTAAGCGTGTTTTCAAGATTCAATTGGGTTAAAACCCTAAAATTTACAATTTTGATTAGTGTAACAAACAAAAAAGTATGACAGTATATTAACTAAGTTTGGTTATGGAGAAGTTTCCATACTAGTACAAATATTTGAAAATTAAAACTATTGTTAATGGTTAAACCTATCAAAATCATTTATGAAAATATAGAAAAGGGTTGGTCAGTTGAAAGCATTGGAAACAATAGTATTGCATGGAGAATTGCATTTCCCGTTCCATAGAGTCTCTTCATGTTGAGATAATGAAATTTGAATCATCTCCCACACATAGGGATCAGCTATTTTGAATTCTCAGCACTAGAAGTGTCGGACTCAATAATCTCAAAGGAATCAGAAAAATATAACAATGCTAAGGTGAAGTATGGGGTAAATGTTTAACACTGTCAGGCAGCACATAACACTTTAAGACAGTATCAAAATAATTGAAAAAAAATCGGAATTCCTTAAGAACGCCCAAAGCCGAGTTCGACCTTTGTTCAAAGATGTCAAGAGTCCACATGCAATAGCTAAATGTATGATATTTTAAAGTTTTAACATATCCTAACAATATTTCATACACTACAAAAAGTGTTCGATACTTATTCTGAGACGACAGTTGGCTCTCTTTTTCAAAAGATAGCATCTAATTGTAGTGCTATACCTCTAGTATAAAAATCAATTTGTCATCATAACACACCTGAATCATCAATATGAATCTTAAGAACAAGTCCTTTAATGAGATATTCTCTGCTCCACTCAATTGCTAACCAATGTTGACCAGCAGTGCCGTTTCTAGTGGTATAAGAACACGTTTGATTGTTTCCGTCAAATGCCGCTGAAACGTTTGATCCATCAACGCTTTGTATATTTGACTTGTATATTGCAATGTTACCTGAAAATGACAAATAAACCGTTATTTTCGAGATATTAAACCCAACAACAATGAGCGTATTTGCATGAATTGATGTCTGTTTTTACATTTTAGTGGAATTTACAGGTTAAACGAAACTTGAAATATTTCACATTTCAAAAGATGTCAAACAAACAGATGTAGCATGATTCTTGAGTTAAAATGACTATATTAAGTATACTTATCAATAAAACTTATTTTCGATTTTATACTTCAAGATCATAATTTTTAATGACAATGGATTCATTGCCATAAAAGTTATATTGAACATGCCTGTCAGTAGAGCTGCTGCTGAACATGAAATTATGACATCAGGAATGAAGAGCCGAATGGCCAGAGATGACATGATGCTTTTGTAAACAGACACTGATTGCGCGTGCCTGTATTGTTTAATATACAATTTTACGCTGAAGGTAATTTATAAATCATATTCTATGAAAATATTTATTTTAATTTTGATTCGTAATAACATAATCACTGTCTACGAAGGTGTGTATGTATATAAGCCTGGTATATACCGCAAGAAACATGTAAATAATTTATCATTGCCCTTTATATATTTATATCATTTATAACTCTTTTGCAAGTTCTCCGAAAGAAATTTCTGTACCGAACTGATTTTAAATATAAGATTTAGATGGAAAAATAAGAGTTCTTTCCAAATTAATCCAGATAAAAATACAATAAGTTTTTAAGTTCTACATCAAGAATGTAGCAAATCAATGGCCGACTTGTTGAGTATAAATAAGTACATCATTTTGGCAAACAAACAAACAAACAAACAAAACTTTATTCGACCATAAATCATTATCAGTAATAAACTGTTGACTTATGATACAAGCCGGTCAAAACGGTTATAATTAACAATCGTAAATTCTGTCAACATTTAAAGCGTAAAATAAAGTCGTAATTGCAAAGGCGGCAGCTTTTGTGACCTTTTTTAGTCGCGCAGGCTTTTAAAAAGTAAAAAAGTAAAAAGATTGTATTAACGTTATATATATATATAGATAGATTGTATAAACGTTGACAGATTATAACGTCCCATATAAACGGTTGACTTTTTCAAGAGAAAAAGGTAAGAATTCTTCATAACCCGACAGTAGCCGTGAATATAACTATATAAACGATTAATACCCGATTATCCAATGAAAAGCGACGTTACAAAATGTGCAGCATTAAAAAAAGAATTCAGATTGTTGATATTATTGGAATAAAAATTATTATTACTTCCGTGCATTTTATTGGTGACTAAGTAATGGGCTGAACGTTTATAAGAAAAAGGTTAAATCACTTGTCTCAGTATTTCTTTTTCACATCCGGAGAACCTACAATTGAATAATATGATTTACAAAGTATACCGTTATATTTGCTATTTCCCACGAATACAAAACATCCGTATTCGGTTTATATACATTTCCGTTTATGGAAGAACATAAGCCATACACAGACGGAAGAATAAAACTCTCAAAATATTCCCCACCAGTGTGGTTTTTTTGGCCATCCACTAAGCACGTTTCGAATTTATAAAAAGGTCATAATTAATGCAATTCATCGGATATGCCGTTGATAAGTAGATTTGAATATATATTGAGGGGGTAGTCGTCACTATGAGGCTTTATAGGGAATGGGGTCTTGAGAAAGATTCCTCGATTGAATAAGATTTTATCACACTTCATGATTTGAATGAGTGTTAGAAAAAACTGGCTGTGTAGAAACATAAAAAAATGTGTTCGAAATATGACTTTCCTAAGAGGTCAAAGGTGCTTTAGAAATCACAATTGATACACGTGTAGCGATATCACTTACGGTACTGACATCCTGGACCCATCCACCCTGGTGCACAACCGTTTGAACAATATCCTGTTTGCTCGCTACATTGATCGTCATTTACACAGTGACACCTATACTGGCAATTCATAAACGTTGGTGAGCCAGGATGCACTGTATTACAATCTGTTAGTAGATTAAACAAATAAGGTGATTAATTTTATCAGTATATGTCTAATTGTAATGAAGATATCTTCCTGCTTGATGATCTGACTCCTTCTTTTGTCGCAAGTTAATTTTTTCCTTGATTGAAAACAATTGATAAATGAACAGCATGTGACAACATCAAATAGGTTCTAATAACTGAAAGTATTCATTTATCCGGAGTAAATGTCGTACAATTAACAATAAATAGCGTTAACAATTAAACCATATATTCATATTCAAAAGAGAAAGAGAAATCTAAACTTTGCAAATGTTCACTCACTATGGGTATTTAGTGTTTGAAATTATTTTTTGTCCAAAAGGATTGCAGTATTTCACATGAATCGTAACACATTTACTTTGGTAAATCGGCAAACTGTTAATCTGTCTAGTAAATCGACTGTTTGTAAAAATAATTTAAAACACTAAGCTATGCCGCGCCTGACCAATTTAATTTTGTAAATACATACTAATAAACTTTAACCTATACTTGTCACTTTAAATTGAAGACATTATAACTGTTATGTCTTTTCCAAATATTGTCATTTCCTAAAAAGAGAAGATGTTCAGAGATTTGTCTATTCGTTTAATGTTAAACTCAAGTATGCAACAGGGATCTCTTAACATCTCTTATAGACTTTGGTAGATAATTAACGATTGATATTATTCCTTGTGTCAGTTTAGTAACTCTCAAATGAAAACAAATAACAAACATTAACTTACCAGCGGCCTCACTATGCACGTATAAACAATAAAATAAAATCAAAAATAATACTTTTGTTTTCATTTTTGTTTCTTTTGTTAATCCGTGTTTTTTTTTTCTTTACAAATCAATCATCTCAAATATAAGACTATAGACGTTCTATATTACTCGACTGGCTAATGTATTCTTAAAGATCCCTGTTCATCAGTTTACTTATAAACACGTGACCAGGTTTGTTGAGAGCTTAAGTAAGCAAACGGTATCAGTGTAATAAATTATATGGTACGGTGTATTACTTTTACTTCCCTCTCTACATCTTAGTATAATTAACCCATGATAATAAAATATGCAGACCCACAGATAACTTGAGTAGTTACATTTGCTGTTCAGTATTATAGTTTAAAGGAGTTTCACTGAGGTTAAAAAGGCTAAAATTTAAAAGCCCCATAAAGTTTGAATTTAGTTCAAGTGATGCACATAAAATGGAATAAAATTAGCAAGGGTAAAAACGAAACAGGCTCAGAACTAAATTGAAAATCGATTGTTACAAATTTGATTGAAAAGCGTTGTTACGCTATTAATTTTCATTTAATTATGTTTTTATTTCTTTGTTGTTGTTGTTGGGGTTTTTTTGTTTGTTTTTTCTTTTTCTTTTTTTTGGTTGGTCATTTTGTACAATAAAAATAATCATTCTGAAAAACAAGAAAATATGCACGCACATCAGTTTCGATTCAGACATGAATCAAATAGTACACTCATCTCGGAAACATATTTTGAGTCATGTATTCTCAGTCTCTAATATTTCACAAAAAATTATTCATACAATTGTAAGAAGTAACTATTATTTGTGTTGTGTTTTTATGGGGTTCGTTTTTGGTTTTTTTTTGTTGTTATTTGTTGATATTTTTCTTTCTTTTTATATGAAACAGTTTAAAAAATCATTTTTAAATTAACAACAATCATTTTTTTAATATAAGTTGTTTTCAATTTGCTTTTGTGTCTTTTATCATAATTTTGTGCTACGTTGAAAAAGGGATATTGTGTATATTAATATACAATAATTATATTAATATAATGTAAGAAATCTAGTTTCTTGTTGTCATCAAAATGTCTTTTTTATTTCATGTAAACATTTTTTTAAAAGTTTTAAAGGCATTATAGAGACAAAATGTTGATTAAAAGGGCTTTCCCGTGTACGATAACATTTATCTAATGAATGATCAGAGTAAGGGCAGATCACCCTTTCAACATTATGGGAAAAGGCAGATATAGATTGTGTCTCTTTACACATATAAAATGTTACCATACTATTTCATAAAAGTTGTATTGAAAATAAAAAAGTGAACTTTTATGACTAATGACAAAATCAAAGGTACTTGTTTTGATATTATTGTATTTATTTGTAAAAAAGCTCTTTGTAAAAACACATTTATTTGAAGAGAATCATTTATAGAATTACCACTTTCAGCCAATATATGGACAATTTTCATGATCGTCTGTGTTTATTATTTTGGCAGAAAGGTGATAAATGTTCCATAAGATAGCTAGATAGCTTCCTTACATGAAAGAATCCAAAGTCCCTGTCGGAATTCGAACCCACATCGGTAAGGGGCAAGTGGCTTTAAGTCATCGACCAATTACACCCCGTTTAAAGTGTTTAAATCACCTATATAATTACCGTTTTTAGCCTTCATTTGGACAATATTAATGCTCGTTTGTATTTATTGTTTTGACAGGAAGGTGATGATGAATGTTAGAACCATAAAGATTAATTTTACTGTCAAATCTTGTGTACTTTTAAGTTTTCCGGACAACTATAATGAGAATCTAACATTTATCTATTACAACAGTCATAATTATCGGATGAGCAATCAAAAATTATTTCAGCAGAAAAGTTATAAAAAAGAGACTGTTAATTAAATAATTAGTAATAAAAGACTATCAAAAGATTATTACTCGCAGAAATACGGAAGAAAAACAATAATCTTATTTGGAATATGTTGAATAATTTTAAATATGTCTGAAGTTGCAAAGCGATTTTTGTTTTGTGAATTTTATTCACTTTAACATAAAGAAATCAAAAACAAAAAAAAAACAATATTGTAAAGTGCAAATGTAATACGTGATATTGGGCACTACGATATAATGAGAAAGAACATTTTGATGACTCAGCAATTATCCGCTGAATAACCAAACAACAGACACGGTGTTTATTGTCCCTCAGTCACTTACAGATCATAAATTTTCATTTGAATTTACTTAATTTTAATTGAATCTTACAAATATTTATGAAAGAACAAAGTGAATTGCAATTCCAGTTGTCTGCTTCGGATTTAAGGTTTTTATCTGATTAATACGATAGTAGTTTATTTCAACAGAAAAGAGGAACAAGTGAAATATAATCAGTTTTTCATCGCATTAAACTTAAACAATTTTAAAACCTCTTTTATGCAAAATCGCTTTGAATATGTTTTACTTAATCTTCTTCGCAGGAATCAATGCATTCATTCTTTACCTGAAATTTTGTTTTCTCTAGAACTTGTTTATAAATAACACTTATATTAATTGTATTACTGTTTAGTGCACGCCTACAATTATTGCAACCTAACAATTAGGCTAGTGGATCGACTCTTTGGCTCAATGGTCTTTAAAATTGTTACTTTGCATTGTTTGTCAGCTTTTTGTGGCCATAGCCAAGGTAGAATTTATTTTCTGTTGCGTTTGTCTCTGTATATTAAGAATATAAATTAATGTTTGAAATAATTATTAGTATTACGTAATTGTATGTAATAAAAGAGATTCATTCGACATTGCTTTGTGGTGTTTGCTGAGCTTATCGTAAAGACACATAATGCCTTAGAAACAAATATTTTTTTTTCTTCTTTAGAAACGACAAACGTTTAAATAATAATAGCTTTAATGAATGTTAGATGCCTGTTACCAGAAGAAAGTAAATGTGATATAATTTCTTATAAAAGTAGCAAAATGTAAACAAAGTAGTAATTTGACTGCCTTACAAACTACTAATTAACTATAACTGTACTTAGTGCCAAAAAGCAACCGATGAAAAAGATGGTTTTGGTAATTGGTCAATGTGTAACTCTTTGGATACTATAAAAGTGCACAATAAAATTAATCAGCTTTTGAAAAGAATAACGATAAAAGCATGCTGGAGCATAATAGGCCTTTAAGAAGTCCAACCATCCACACAGATGTACTACTAGATTAGAAGTTATTTATTGATACCCTTGTATAAACACGTACTCTCTGGTACATTAATTATGCTCCCCGGAAAATTTCGGGGGAGCATATAGTCGCCGGGTTGTCCGTCCGTCCATACGTACGTACGTCCCGAATTCGTGTCCGGCCCATAACTTTGTTATTTGAAGTCGGATTTTAAAACTATTTCACAGAAATGATCACCATATTGAGACGACGTGTCGCGCGCAACATTTTGGTCGCTACCTTGAAGGTCAAGGTCACAGCATGACCTTGCAGCAAAATCGTGTCCGGCCCATTACTTCGTTATTTGAAGTCGGATTTTAAAAATATTTCACCGAAATGATCATCATATTAACATACGTGTCGCGCGCAAAAATTTAGGTCGCTACCTTGAAGGTCAATGTCACAGCATGGCCTTGCAGCCAAATCGTTTCCGGCCCATAACATTAATATTTGAAGTCGAATTTTAAAACTATTTCACAGAAAAGACCAACATATTGAGACGACGTATCGCGCGCAACATTTAGGTCGTTACCTTGAAGTTCAAGGTCACAGCATGACCTTGCAGCAAAATAGTGTCCGTCCCATTACTTCGTTATTTGAAGTCAGATTATAAAACTATTTCACAGAATATCTCACCATATCTCACCATATTGAGACAATGTGTCGCGAGCAAGATTTGGGTCGCTACCTTGAAGGTCAAGGTCACAGCATGACCTTGCAGCAAAATTGTTACCGGCCCATAACTTCGTTACTTGAAGTCGGATTTAACAACAATTTCACAGAGATGATCACCATATTAAATCGAAGTGTCGCATGCAAAATTTGGGTCGCTATCTTGAAGGTCAAGGTCACAGCATGACCTTGCAGCAAAATAGTGTCTAGCCCATAACTTCGTTATTTAAAGTCGGATTTTACAACTATTTCACAGAAATGATCACCATATTGAGACAATGTGTCGCGCGCAACATTTGGGCTGTTATTACACTTTGAACTTTGTTTGTGACATAACTCTGACACTACAAGAGGTATACCTTCCTGTGTCCAAAACCTATTCGGGGAGCATCACCCGGTTCAACCGGCTCTTGTTTTCATCCTACTACGGTCAATTCTGCTGTAGCAGTATGTATTTGCCTTTTATTCAAAATTAATTCTTAATTAATTACATGAATTACTTTTGTCAGGACTAGACAATCATTGATATAAATTTAAACTTATTTTTGCCAATATCAATCGTAAGAATGAACCAACATAATGGGTTTGCGACCAGCATGGATCCAGACCAGCCTGCGCATCCGCGCAGTCTGATCAGGATCCATGCTGTTCGCTATCAGTTTCTCTACTTGTTATAGGGTTTGTAAGCGAACAGCATGGATCCTGATCAGACTGCTGGTGGTCTGGATCCATGCTGGTCGCAAACCCATTATGTTGGTTTTGTCGTGACGCGGCTCATTTTATGACGTAAGAATGAACTATACTAGATACGATTTAAATTTGGAAACATTAAGTCAGATTCTCCGTTATTTTGAATCTTCTAGTTTCTTATTAACTGACTTTTTGATGGTTTCATTTCATATAATATTTTTGTGATGAATTATTACTGATAAAGCCATTTTTTCTTTGGTTATACAGCAATGTTTAGATGGATCGAAATTGACAGCAACATTGTTCATGCTTTTCTTCAAACATGTGATGACTACTTCGAGTAAATGGTTTTGGCTTTCAACCTTTTATTCAATAAAATATGATAGTGTATTGTTGTTTGTCTTGCTTTAATGTTATGATGACATCAATATTTTTCAATATAACTACATTAGTGACAGACGTGAAGATAAGAGGGTTATCTCAAGTTATAATTCACACTAGACAGATACATTGAAAATGCCAAATCCAACATGTTGCTTATCAAAAAGAATACGTCAACATCATTACTAGACGCAATGTAATTTTACAGCTAATCTTTGAACATGATTATGTAACAGACCTTGTCTGTTTCAGGAGTATTTTGTTTATTTATTTTTCCGGGA